CTAGTCCAGGCATGAGGGGACGAGAGCCTGCAGTAGGCTGGTGAGAGTGTCGCAGGAGAACAGGGGGTATGTGCGAGAACAGTTAGGAAAGTGAAATCTTCAGACTTTAGCAACACATTGACTGTTGGGGGCAAGGCGGGGCAGGGATGAGTGAGTGAGGATTTGAGGATGACATCTAGGTAAGTGTGTAGGTGTGGGTGACCAGGAGGATGGTGGTACCCTCAGGGAGGGGAGGGTTTTTGGGAAAAGATAGTGAGTTCAGTTTTGGACATGGTGAGTTTAAGGTATTTACAGGCTGTCTAGTTCAAGATGTCCAGGAGGCAGTTGAAGACGAGACTAAAGGTCAACAGTGAGATTAGGGCTGGATGCATAGATTTTGAGAATCAGCTGCATAGAGAGGACTATTCTTTGGGAGCTGAAATAGTAAAGAGGGGAGGAGAAGAGGGCCTGGGCCAGACCCCTGAGGGGCACCTAGGGTCAGAGGGCATCATCTGGAGGAGTCTCCAGCAAAGGAGACAGGAGGAGCGGTCAGATACAAAGGTGAAGAACCCAGAGAAACAAGTGTCCCAAAACCTGGAGAGAAGAGAGGGTCAACAGGGAGGTCAGGGAGAATGAAGACTTGAGAAAAGGCCCCTGGATTTGGCCACTTTGTGCAGAGAGCAGTTTGAGCTGAAAGAAGGCAGAGGCCAGACAGAGTTAAGAAGAGAATCAGAGAAATGGCTAGGATTTGCATAGGGGGCATTCTGCCGTGGGAATTGAGGCCATCATCCTGAGAGGCCCAGCTGAGGAGATGGCATTAGGTGTGGTTTCCTCAAAAAATGGATGCTGTCCTCATGGCCCACTAGGAAGAAGGACCTCATCAATATGGCTTAACTCATTTTAATGATTTGGATCTCCACATCTTCTAGCACTTAATCTTTCTTCTAGCCCACAGGTCTGAGACTCCATTTACTCCCCCAGTTTTTTTTTAGTTGGCTGAGGAACGTGTTTTTAAAATCATTATTATGCTTGGTGGTAGAATTCCTTGCATTGCCCAGAGATGTCAGAATTTGGGGGGGGGGTGGACCCAGACTTCTTTTTATTTGTTTTGTTTTTTTTAGGCAATTGGGGCTAAATGACTTGCCTAGGGTCACGCATCTAATAAGTGTCAAGTGTTTGGTCTGAGACCGGATTTGAGTTCAGGTCCTCCTGACCTCAGGGCCAGTACTCTATCCACTGCGCCACCTAGCTGCCCCTACCAGACTTCTTTTTAGTTAATCACTTGACTTGATAAGAAGCAGACTAACCTTTCTTTACTACGTATTCTTAGACGGAGAATCCTCTTAAGAAGTTGCTAGGTGAAAGACATTAAAGACAAGAAAGATCTGTTAAGTCAGTAATGGATAGAGTTGCTGGGTCTGGGGTCAAAAAGACCTGAGTTTCCATTCAGCCTTGGTAGCTGTGTGACCCTGGGCATGGCCCTTAACTTCTCTGATTCGGTCTCCTCAGCTGTAAAATGAGCTGGAGAAGGAAATGGCAAACCACTCCAGTATCTTTGCCAAGAAAGCCCCCAAATGGGGTCATGAAGAGTCGGACACAACTGAATGAACAACAGTGTCCAGAAGGAACATACTAAGTTATCATGGTTTTATTTACTCAGATCCTTAAAGCATCATAATATCGATGACAGTATCCCAGAAATCAGTTGCCTGGTGAAGGGATCTAATTAGAAAATGAGTTTAGGAAACTAAAGCATCTTTTTCCAAGTTTTACTTATACTTGGAAATTTCATTTCTCCTGGCTGTATCAGCATCTTGATATCTGGATAATGTTTTGTTATTTTTGCCAATACCAAAACCTTCTGTATGGAGTATAATGTTGTGTAATGAAAAGCTTATTTTTTCTTTTGCCATCGTCTTTGTTATCACACAAAAGTCATTTAGTATCTAGTTGATAAGCCGCAGTATCATTTTTTTTTTACCTCTTGACATTCTGTAGAGGATTGTACTAGCATTTTCATGTATTTATAGTGTACTAGAAATTTTCAGTTCCTAATTCTTTTCTTGCCTCTGTGATACTGTATTGTGAACTTATTCATCAAATTTATATAATTGGCAACATAAAATACTTGGAACTATTTTTCTTAAATTAGCACCAGGCTATTTTTTAAAAATCATAGTTAAAAACTGCCTTTGGACAGTAATCTGTTGGATAGTAATTAAATTTCTTGATTATATTCAGTTTTATTTTTTCTCTGAAAAATAGCAATTTCATTTTCTGTTGAGTTTTGGATCTGAAGTTTTTACTAATCACATCCATGTGTATATTTTTGTACGTGAGTGGCTCTGAAAGTCACAGAATCTTAGTGTTGGAAAGAACCTTAGAAGTCATAGAATTAAATTTTGAGCTAAATGGGATCTTGGAGATAGCTAGTTCAGCCTCTTAATTTTACAGATGAGCAAATTGAGGCCAGAGAGATGAAGGGATTTGTAGCTAAATAGGGAATGAGTTGCACAGCCAAGATTTGAACTCGGGCCTTCTTGCTCCAAATCCAGTGTTCTTTCTCCTGTACTGTGCTGATTTGCCAGCCCTACTTCTGATGTAGGAATCCTTTCTCCAAGGCCCTAACAAGTGATCACCAGCCTTTGCTTGATAACACCTCGTGATGGGGACACTCACCACCTCCCAAGGGGACACAGGCTCTTTTGCCTAGATGAGGGTCTTTATTATGTTCCCAGCAAGGGCCTGTGCTCTGGATTTTGGAGGCCCCAGAGTGAGTTTTATCCCCATCATCCCCCAGTCCTCTCTCTTCACGGCCAGCTATCCCTGACCTCTTTCATGTGGTCCTGTGTGACATGCTTTTGAGTCTTGCCACCTCCCTGCTGACTTTGTGCATCCAGTTAGTTTGCCTTTTGTAATCTAGAAGAGTGCTCGAGGTCCTCATCTCCTGAAAAGGGCCCCGCCTCCAGGTCCAGAGTGGTCAGATGCTGTGCTCTCAGTGAGTGGCCAGGCACTCCTGCTCTGTTTGCCTTGGTCTGCATTTTATCTTCTTCCTTCCCGTCATCCGGCCAGTCTGGGATTCTCCCACAGCCCCAACCCTCGGGGGTATTTGTGTGACTCTGTCCGGATGCTCTCTGGTGTGCTTCCAGCTTCCGATTGGGGTAATTTTTCCGGGTACATGCCCTTTTAAAAAATAGATTCTTTCTGTTTCTGCATCACATTTATTTTTGACTCTCTCTCCTTCCCACTGCCCTCTCATACTTAGGTTGACAAGCCTCTCTCCAGCTCTTATGAGGCGTGCTGCTTTTCTGGCCAAGGTACCAAAATTCTGGTGTCTTGAGCTGTCAGCCGAGACCAGGAACTTCATCTCGACTAAAATGCCTTTCTCTGTCCTCCCCTTTTGGGTGCTGCTCCTCCCGGCCTCCCCTGGGGCTGCATGTTCTGTGGGGATGCTTTGCAGATTCAGCGTACTTCCCCACTCAAATAGCCAGAATCGATGGGGGGCTAGCAGACTCTCCATCATCCTGGACCAGCGTGCTTCCTGCTTGCCTGTGTCTCCTCCAGTGTGTGGCTGCCTGGGCGCCTTCCTCCTGGGTCAGTGAGAGCTGCGGCCTCCCCTTCCTCCCCGTCCTCGTGCACGTGGGCCAGCAGGCGCTTCAGGGATTCCTCATCTCTTTTGTGTAGCCATTGCCTCTTAACCATATCTTTAATCACTAATCACTTGATTGTTTTTTGTTCTGAAACCGATTTTGTTTTTGGTGGGGATTCCCTACTGAGGAGGGGGCAGCTAGGTGGTACAGTGGAGAGAGTACTGGGCCTGTACCAGGAAGACCTGAGTTCAAATCTGGCCTCAGACACTTACCAGCTGTGTGATCCTGGGCAAGTCACTTCACCCTGTTTGCCTCGGTTTCCTCATCTGTAAAATGAGCTGAAGAAGGACACGACAAACCACTCCAGTATCTTTATCAAGAAAACCCCAAATGGGGTCACAGAAAGTCAGCCCTGACTGAACAAGCTAGTGAGGATGCCCCTTCTCTCAGTGCAGCCCATCAGTTATTTTGCACCTTTGATTCTTAAGCATGCGCGGGGGACGTTGGAGAGGTTAAGTGTGTTTAGACGAGGGCTGTAAGCCCCGCTCCTTCTCACTCTGAGACCAGTCTTCAGTTCATTCTCCTCAGGGTTGTTTTTTTGCTTTTTGCTAGGCAATTAGGGTTAAGTGATTTGCCCAGGGTCACACAGCTAGTAAATGTTGTGTGTTGTGTGTCTGAGACCAGATTTGAACTCAGGTCCTCCTGACTTCAAGGCCAGAGCTCTGCGCCACCTAGCTGCCCCCCTCAGGGTTTCTTATTCCCCAATTTCTGCTGTGAATCAGTTCTCTTACCCTGCAGAGGATTTCCTCTTCCTCTGGAATGAGCTAAACTGTACAGAAGCTTTCGTCAGGATATTACTTAGATACCATGCATAGTCAGCAGCTGCTTTGTGTAGATGTGTCTCTCTGTGGGGTGCAAAGGCTGCGGTTCTCAAGTGGTTCTAGAGCAGTGTGCGATTTTTTTTCCCTCTCTAGTTCAGAATCCCTTCCATTTGATAGAATATGCAAAAGTACTATTAACTAAATTACTGGGATGTTCTAGTTATTAAGTGGAATATTGAAATAATGATGTATCATTGTTTATAAAAGCAGGAAAAATGATATTTTAATCTTGAAGTTTAGGCATTTTATTTAAACATACTATTATTTTTCTTAAAAACTGACCTCGGTACTACCGAGTACATGCTATTACTTGCCTAGGTGCAAGTTTTACCTAATCTGGGGGACTACAGAAAGGATGGCCTCCCCTTGCACTAGAAAGTGTTTTTATTTTGTATTTTAACAAAGGGTTAAGGGGGGCCCTTTCTGAAACTTTATTTTGGGGGCCCACAATTTAAACTTCTATCATTGATTGCCTGGCTGTAGCTTGGTCTAGTTTTATCACTTCAAAGCAAAAGATTTGGCCTGTGACCAAATATTTTTTCTTCCTTAGATCAACCTCTCTACTTCTCCTACACCTGCACAGTTAATAAGCCGTTCCCAGGCTTCCAGTACTACCAGCAGCAGTATTACCCAACAGACTATGTTACTAGGGAGTACATCCCCTACCTTAACGGCAAGCCAAGCTCAAATGTATCTACGAGCTCAAATGGTAAGAGACGAGCTGCCAGAATCTGCAGTGTCCGTTTTCTTAGGTTGAAGACATTTCTAAAATGATTGGTGGGGGAGTTGTCCTCTTCTCTTCTAGGTGATGACAGATTTCAAGGAGCTTTAATAGTTTAAAAACATTTCAATCAATAAAATGCTGTTTAGACTTTTCATGTCTATTTTTTGTTTCTTTAAGCATTAAGCTCATAAAGTTATTGAAGGTAGAAAAGTTCCCCTTCAGATAGAAATGTGAATCTTTTTCAGGGAATAGAATTACTACAAATTTGGTTGGAAGTTTGGTGCTGCAAACAATGAGTACAGTTTGGGATTTGCAAATATTTCTTACCTTATCTCTTACTGTAAATCTTCAATCCAGGATGGAGTTTCCCTTGATAATTCTTGTAATTGATTATTTCCCATTTTATATTCTGCCAGTTGGTTTGGATAGCTAAAGATTTTATTCAACGAACATTTATTTAGCAGCTATTGTTGCTTAAAACAGATGCGAGGTACTGAGACCATATTGACCCATTATCAGTAAAGGGAGATTAATTACTCTTATAATATTGTCTTCCTTCCTTTGCCTAATCTTACAGTTTGATTGAGGAATTGAGAAGGTGGATTGTGTTTACCCTGGTGGCAAACTGCCTGAGACTTAGTGGTATATATGTTGTAGAAAGTGGGAAAAAGATATGTAGGCCGAAAACCCCACATCTTGATCCTCATGTCTCAGCCCCAGAGGCCACAAGAAACTTCCAGTCAAATTTCTAAGAAGAAGCAATTTTATCTGTCTTTACTATTCATAGATTATCACCATGGATTTATCAGATGTCTAGTTTTAGGATTTTGACTACATTTTGTATATATACAGTATTCTTTCTAGAAACATTAAGTTTATAGTTTTTAGGCTGTTCATAGTCAGATGTGGTTTTCATATATGTCATGGAATTTTAGTTTTACTTGTGAGGGTTATACTTTAATGTTAAAATTTCATTTAATTCAACATACTAAAGACATTTTATTGACAATTTAATATAAACAAAAAATAATGTTTTTGAGGTATTTTATGTTTATCTAAATATCAGTTCTAAAGTAAGATATTGACATAAACCTTGAAATAACCTGTTATTTCAGTACACTGTATCTAATAATTAGAAATAGGTTATAATTAATGGGGACTAACGTAACATTGAATAAAGTTCCCTACTGAAGAGGGATGGTGATAAGAAATTTACATTTGTCATTATCTTGTTACTTTTTTTTTTTAGAAGCCTTCTCGGGCTATGCTGTTGTATCATTTTAATGTTTCATTGTGGTACATAGTTCAGTAGTGACTTTTTCTGCATGTTTAGTCTTTAAAGTTACTTCATCCTAGATTGGTTCCGTCGTTCAAATCCTGGCTTGGCCTGGCCACTTTATAAGTTATGGGGCCTTGGGCCTATTACTTTCCCTCTCTGGCCCTCAGTTTTCTCCTCTGCAATATGGAAGATTTGGACAATAGGGTTCTAAATCTGTGATCATGGGAGGGCCCTGCCTCTCTCCACCCCCCAGAGACTTAGGCTAGAGTAGTGGGCAGTTGTCCTTTGTAGGAGAGATGACTGCAAAAGGGATTTTTTTTGGGGGGGGGGGAAGGGGGCGGAATTTTTTTCTGGATTTCTTGCACAGATTTAGTTTGTACTTGGGATCAGTGTATTTATTGGCTCCTTCTAGACATTTATTTTTAAATATATAATTGCTAGCTTTTGGGAGCACTTGTTCTGAGGAATTCCTGTCAACAAAGAGCTTTTTTGAGCTAGGCTGTTTTATATGAAATATATTTCTCATATGGTAAAGATGTTAAGATTCTTCCTACTTAAAATTAGCTGAATCTTTTTGCATGTAAAACCATTTAAAAGTTAGATTCAAACAGTGAACTTTTGATTAAGGAGTGCTTCTAAACTATATAATCTTTCTATCACAAACTTCAATCTCTTTTACTTGCTTTACATGTGTGTGGGGCATGTTCTTTTGTCTTCAGGGTTGTTTTTTGTTTTTTGTTTTTACTTTCTGTCTGTACAGCTGATTTTCACACCTGCTACTACTGTGGCTGCTGTACAGTCTGACATTCCTGTTGTCTCGTCGTCGTCGTCACCTTCCTGTCAGTCGGCAGCTACTCAGGTGAGCTGGGTGAGGTTCATGGGCTGTATGTGCAGAGCAAATGTGCACAGGGAGCTAATGTAGGGATGCTTTTGTTTCTAGCCATTTGGGATACGCTTGGGGTAATTAATATTTATAAAATTAGTGAATACTTCAAGGAAGAGGCAAAAGACAGTTACAGATTCTGCAGGGATAGTTAAATAATTTAGATCTATGAGATGATTGAGCACACATCACATAAACTTTTGTCTCCTGTGACCTATCTTCAGTAAACGTTCATAACAGTAGTTTAGTTTATTTAAGTGATTGAATACAAAGCAGGTGTCTTTATTGATTATTTTCTAGGCTTACATCACATTTTCATTTTTTGTGCAGTAGACTCATTATTTGATTAGTATAACATTTGTTCTTTTGGATAGATTCCTTTACAAATGGTCTGTAATTCTAATGTAAAAAAAAAAAAAGACATGAATGAATGAAAGATTCCATTTTAAGATACTAGTGGTATCTCCACCTCAGCTAGTATTTGAAAATGACTATGGTTCTAACAGATGTTTGGGTCATCATTACTGCTGCTTATGTAGACTAGGTGGTCAGTGAGGACTTCTCAGGGCTGATTGCATGGTCTCCTACTGTGGTAAGAAAGAAAGGCCGTAGGAAATGTAGCTGCAAAAAAATTATTCCATGATTTTATTTATTAGTCGTTAAAGGTATTGATAATGTGGATAGCACTCATTTTACATAAAATAACTGCTTTATAGAAAAGTTGGCTATAAAATGAGTCCTATTTTTCCAATAGCTTTTATTATAAATCTGAGCTGTTTTCTCAGGGAAAAAAAACTGCCAGTAGACATAATTGGGGACTTTTGGCAAAAAAGGAATTTTCAAGATGGTAGTCAGATTAAATTTAAGCTATACCCAGCTTGCTGTGTGATCTTATGCAATTTACTTGCCCTCTCTGGTTCTCATTTTACTTATGTATAAACCAGATCAGTCAATGAAATGTTCTCTAGGTCCCTTTCTAGGAAACCTAGGTGGTGCAGTGGATAGAACCTGGAGTCAGGAAGACCTGTGTTCACATTGGACCTTATACACTTACTAGCTGTGGGACATTGAACAAGTCACTTAACCTCTGTTTGCCTCCATTTCCTCATCTGTAAAATGGGGATAATAATAGCACCTACCTCCCAGGGTGGTTGTGAGGATCAAATGAGGTGATCTGCAAAGCACATAGCCCAGTGCCTGGCATGTAGTAGACACTATGTAAGTGCTATCTATTAATAGTACTATGACTGCTACAAAATTCTGTTACATCCATGTAGTTTGGATCTCTTTTGGTCTGTGTATTTATGGCATGTCATAGTACTTGACAACCATATAGTAACTGCTTCTGTAGATGTTCCTGTCTGATGCCTGATGGACTCTAGCTCAGAAATTCTTTAATTTCTTTAACATGACTTAAGGCCTCACTTTATCAACACCTACAGATTTGATGAGGGATATAAAGTTATAATCCTAACTTCATAGAAGTCATCACAGTAGCAAACATAAACTTTCTGTATTAAAGAAATTAATTGAATTATAGCATAATAATTCCATATATAAATTGTGTAACTACTTCAAGACACTGTACTTAATCAAAGATTATGGGGCATTTGGAATAATGCAAGGAACATTCAGTGTTAAGCTACTTAAATGAAGATTGTGTAGCATAAGGTTTCATTAATAAAGTGAAAGTTTTTTTCTCATGATTCTCATTTTAAAATTAGAACACTGGTGTAAAATGATAAGAAATTTGGATTTGTCTAGCCTTGGTTGCTATTTTGGCAAAAAAAAAATCATGAGATAACTTTATTAAGAAGGAGCATGTTTATAGAAGACAGGAGTCCTAGATATTGAGGTGAGAGGTGAGTGGTGTAATTGAAATTAGAGGTATTTCATTAGGAATCCAGAGACCTACAATTTGGTCCTGGCTGTCTTTACACAGTTTTTGAGAACTTGGCAAGACATTGAAGAGAATCTTTCATTAGCAGAAAAGAGTATTTCATTAAGAATCGGGAGACCTGAAATCTAGTCTAGGCTACCACTAATCATGTCAGTTACGTCAATAATGACAGCCTCTCTTACAGTGTCTTTTGTCTTTTTTTTTTCTTTTAATTGGGAGAGGGGTGGGGAAAGGATACCGTTGCCTATATCCTGTCTACTTTCACTAATTTGTTAGAATCAAGCAAAGTAATGGATGTACAAGTGATTTTAAAAGGATTAAAAACTTTAAAAAAAGTATTGTGTTATCATGTGAGGTGGTATTCTTAACTAATAAAATTCCCTTCCCAGATTTTTTTGCAGAAATAAAGAGAATCTTATAGTAATGGTGATAGTCCATTTGTGGGGGGAAAGAAGGGAAGATTTCTTCTTTATCTGAGAAAAGCAGATTTTTTTCTCCAGAAATGAAGTTATGCCACAAAAATGTGATTGTCATATTAACATGATGAAATTTATTTGTCACATAGATTAGAGGTCATGCTTAAAATACATTTTATTTTTATATACCTATATTTCCAAGCCAGAAGTAACACAAATGTTATGTATACACATGTAAATATAAATTTTGAAGACATTTTAAAAATCAAAAATATAAATAAAATTAGAAAGCTAAGTATGGAAAAAAGGAAAATGAGAGAGTCTGACTGTCCTGTGGAAATGGGCATGTGTAAATTATCCACAATTAACATAATGTTAATTAGCATTCTAATTTAGTGATCTAGTTTGCCTGTAAATTTGTAGGAATCATTTTCTTTCATTAATTTTTTTCAGATATAGCCATCTCTTGATTACCTGTGTTATAGAGTATCTAGTTTATAAAAAACTTAATTTCAGATTTATTTCTCTTCCTTAGCTGTTCCTCCCAAGTATCTTTTTAAGTTCTTCACCATATATATACACACATATATGTATGTATAAAATATGCCTGTATATGTATATATACTTTTTTTGAGGGGTGGAGGGAGATATGAACTAATTTTAATGTTAAATTGAAGAAACTATAATTAGACGTGTAAGTCTGCTAGGAGAAATCCAAAGACCACTAAGTACATTCCAAAGTCAAGACTGTTAATACAGGTACAGTTAACTATAGGTTCATTTATTGTCAAATGCTAAGATAATTTTGAAAGATTTGTGAATTAGAAAAGAACCTTTGTAAGGGCTGCCTTAAAGAGAAAATCTTTGAAAACACCACGGTGTTGATCAGTTACACAGTTAGCCTTGTCAGTTAGCAAGTACTCCGTGCCTTTTGTGTTGTGGGCACCATATTAGATGCTTACACAGAATAGATACTTTGGAAGGATTCAAGGGAATTAAAAGACGAATTCCTTGCTCTTGAATGTATAATCTAATTAAGAAGAAAGGTCATACATAAGAAACAAGAAGAGAACATATATGTAAAGCAGCTCCGTATCATTCACTGCCTCAGTTCCCCTGAGGGCCAGTTTGACCAAAAATGCATGTGGTACACTTGTACCGAGGGGCAGCTTGGTGCAGTGCACAGAGTGCTGAGCCTAAAGTAAGAAAGACCTGAGTTCAGATCTGGCCTCAGACACTTAATAGCTGGGAGACCCTAGACAAGTCACTTCATTTTGTTTGCCTCATTTCCTCATCTGTAAAATGAGCTGCAGAGGGAAATGGCAAACCACTCTAGTATCTTTGCCACGAAAACCCCAGAGGGGTCACAAAGAGTCAGACACAACTGAAAAATTACTAAACAGCAGCAACAACAACAGTTGTATGAGGCAGGCCTGCTCGGGGAGGGCAGGGGGTTCTGGGGGAATGGGGTAGTGTTTCTGAGTGTGTAAATTTGTTTTTGTTGATAGCAATGTCAGAGGCCTCAAGACTTGTCATCCAGCCTTTTGGGGTTGTTCAGCCTGCCCTGTCTTAGTGAGTTGAGGATGAGTTTAAGAACTGAGTTTCCCTACCTTGGGAATGTCATCTGATCAGCTTATGAAAGTTGCTTCCCAAAATGAAAAGCATACCTCCAGGAATTGTTAAATTAATTCCTTTATTTAAAAAAAAATCTTAAAAGGTAGTTAGTTGAAAGTTCTTTTGATAAATTTAATTATATATTTAATTTATTAAGGAATTTAATAGAAGAGGCAGCTAGGTGGTGCAGTGGATAGAGCTCTGGGCCTGGACTCAGGAGGGTCTAAGTTCAAATCTGGCTTCAGATACTTACTAGCTATGTGACCCTGGGCAAGTCACTTAATTTCTGTTTATCTCAGTTTCCTTATCTATAAAATGGGAATAATAATAGAAACGGCTTCCCAGGGTGGTTGTGAAACTCAGATGAAATAATTGTTAGAAGTGTTTAGCACAGTGCCTGGCACATAGTAAACACTATATAAACATTAGCTATCGTTGTTGTTAGAAAATATAGAATAAAAGGCAATCTTATCCTATAAACATTATGGGTGTTTGTGTTTGATTATATTAAAGTGCAACATATTGAGTTGTTGTTAAACTCATTTTCTGCTAATTTAGAAATTATGCTGTTTTCACGAGATTCATCTTGATAATTTTTTTCTTTCACCTGTTTCTTAAAAAACCATCATTTTTGTTCAAGAAGTGGCTGTTTTATTATGCTTCTTCCTTTATGGCTTATCTATCTTTTTAAACGAAACTATCTTATTGAAAAGCAGAGTATTAATATTTAGTCATTGCAATTTTACTTGTAATTATTACTGTATCTGTGTTGTTGATATTCTTTTATCTGAACTTGCTGTTATGTGACTCTTAGGTTCAGAATTTAACGTTATGCAGCCAGAAGTTGGGTGTATTATCTAGTTCGCAGAATGGCCCACCAAAAAACAGTAGTCAAGCTCAGTCATTGACCATTTGTCATAATAAAACGACAGTAACCAGTTCCAAAACCAGTCAACGAGACGCTTCTCCAGAAAGCAATAAGAAAGGAGAGAGCCCCAGTTTGGAATCTCGAAGTACTGCTGTTACACGAACGTCAAGTATCCATCAGTTAATAGCCCCAGGTAGGATGAGACTTTTGGTTAAAGTGGATATTCATGTAAAATGAAGCTGTTAATGGACTGTCAGAAGTGATTTGAATGTTTTAAGTTTGGTGAGGAATTGTTCCATTTAACCTTTTCATTTGTAACTGATACAGGCACTCATGGTTTGCACAGAATTTCACTGAATATCAGTAAAGATAGTATCTAAATCAGTTTTTTTTTTTAATGGACATTGATCATAACTGAAACCTATATTGTGAAAATTGTATTTGTTAGTGTTAAAGAAAAATCCCTCCATTTCCTGGTTTTAGCTTAAGTGCTTTCAATTGCTGACATACTTCTTAGCAGTTAGCAAAACATAGTACATTCATTCTACAAATAATAATGGTACTTTTAAATCATCATCTCCTTTTAATAACAGTTTCATAAACTGAAAACATCTTAATACTGCATTTTGAAAAAAAGGAACTTAGAAGTCCAACAATTAAAGTCACAATACTAGAACAATAAAGTTGATCTTTTGCACTATCAGTATTTTTCTAACAAGTATAATATGTGGTTGCACCATATTAGTAGGGCAACACTTCTGTCATATTCCTAACTTGTGGGAAGACATGGACAAGAGTTGCCCAGGATTGGAGGGAATTCCCACACCAATGAGATCACAGGTCGGTTTAACTTTTTAAGTAAGTTGACCTGTGTGGTGTGACTAAGACCTGACTTCTTCTGTTCAGAGATAGGTTTCCTGTATAGACTGCTGTTCCCTGCCTTCCTGTCCCCTCTTTTCCAGCTTCCCCCCCAGAAACCATCTCAAGGACGAACACGTTTCCCCTGGTGAAGGCGGTCAGAAGACTGATGGGGAAAATGGCTGTCACCCAGACAAATGTTATATACCAGCGACAGGGAGACAGTGTGCTCTCGGTGACTGCTTTGTAAACATTTCAAAAAGGATCTTGGGTAGGGGAAATACAATTTAGATTAATTCTCTGTCACTCCCCTCCCCTATCTCATCATCAGTGAAAGCAGCAAAGCTGGGGGGGGCATGGAGGAGAGTTGTTTTCAAGAAAAGAAAGCCATCTGATCGAGAATGTGGAAAAAGTGACATCTCTTTGTATCCCTTTCTCCTTTCATAAATGGGTAGTGCTATCAGTTATAGGCCACGTATCTCATTGGGGTGATAATAGGGACCTGGAGGAGGGGGCAAGAACATCAGTCAGGAGAATCAGGTAACAACTTGAAGTCAGGGGGGCCAGTCATGCTCATTGGCAGCTGAGGTTCAGATCTCCTTGTTTATAGGAACCCCTCATTTCCTACCACGGTGCATTGACAAGTAAAAGAGCCAAAGCTCCAACCACATACTCATTCAGAGGGATAAAATTCTCTTTGAAGGGTTTACACAACTGTCATTCACAGCAACCTGAGTCACTGATGGGGGTTTCACTTCTACTTGGGCAGCAACTGTGTCCTGATTTGGCTACCACCCATCACTCGTGGGAAACTGATCTGAGGGTGAGAATTTCTCTGGGAACCCAAAATAAATGTTCCTCCTTTTACCCTGCATATGGCTTATTCTTAGAGACTATTTTTATATTAAAAGTTTAAGATACACTCCAATATGAGATAGTCTTCACCAGTGGGCCTATGGGAAAAGCTTTAATGAAGACAAAAAATTATCATTAATCTAGAAATAGTTTCTATGTAAATATTTGCTGGAAAAGATTTGTTTTCCTAAGCACTTAAGTACTTCCCATCTTGTTTATATTAAATTTTAAAAGTAAATCCTGATGCCTGTTGGAATTCTTAAGTAGTAGAAATTTGGATTTTCATAATTGATCTTTTGTGTGTGTGTTTATGAAAGCGGTCACATTGAATTGGTTGTTCTTGAAGAGATTCTTCAAGGTGTAAATCCAGAATCTTTAATTTGATGGTTTCCGAGATCTATTCCAACTCTGACTCCTGTGATGTCTTGTGTCAAGAAAATACACTTTTAGGGGCAGCTAGGTGGCGCAATGGATAGAGCACTGGCCCTGAAATTAGGAGTTCCTGAGTTCAAATGTGGCCTCAGACCAAACACTTGACACGTACTAGCTGTGTGACCTTGGGCAAGTCACTTAACCCCTATTGCCTCACAAAAGAAAAAAAAAAAGAAAGAAAATACACTTTTCAAAGTCTTAGTTTGAATCAGGGGCGTAGTGAGCAGACAGTAGGCCCTGAGTCAGGAAGAGCTGCAGTCCCACGTCGTGATCTCTGGGGTAGATTAGCCGTGACCCCAGGCAGCTTTCTGTGGCTCTGAGATGTAGACAAGAGACTGACCTGCCTGGGTGGGGGAGGCGGTTTCCTCATATTAATGAAATCACAGGTCTAGACCCTCTCTCTCATTTAGCTTTAAATCCTGGTTGGTGGCCGTGTGGAAGTTTTCATTCAATGATAGGTGTCGGATTTTTTTTTTTAATGTAATTAGATTTTCGTTGGACCTTCTAAATGCCTCTTTCTCAAGATGTTAGTTATTTCTTCATAGAGTATCAAGAGATTTAAATTATACCAAATGCAAATTGAAATAAATTATAAACATGAAAATGTTTGGAACTTTCATTTATCTATTATTGCAAACATAATTGAATATGAAAATAATATTCATAGAGTTGTATCAATTATATACTAAATTTTTAGATAAGGTCTTACTTTGGAATATTTATCTGTAATTAAGCTAGCATTTAAATTTCTTTTCCACTGAGAGCTACGTTTCACTTCTTCAGTGTTTAGATAGGAAGGATTGCACTTAAAATCCATTTTGTGGGACAGGTACTGTGCTGTTGAGGCAGAATGGGAGGGACCCCTCAGTTGAGGTCAGTCCTGAGTCATTAGTTAGATTGTGGATGGTTTGTTTTTGGGGAAAAAAAAGAGTCACATAAAAACAGATTTAAAATTTTCACAGTGGCAGGAATCTACAGTAAAATTCACATCAAGCCAACAAATATTTAATAAATGCCTATTGTGTGCTAGGCCCTGTTCTGTGTTGGGTTTAAAAAAAAAAAAAAGGCACGGGCCTCTACTTCATTATCTCTTCTGGTGCCTTCCAGGACCTGAAATAGAGATTATGCAGCTCTTTAAAAGCTTCCTTTTATTTCAGTTGTATAGCTGATCTTTCCCCTATGCTAGCTTCATAATTACTTTTGAAAAATTAATTTTTTTCATTAATTGGATTCCCTTTCTTGGCCCAAAGAATAGGAACCTTGGCCCAAAACTGAAAAATTTGCAAATTGGGAAGCCACAGATGAGGTACTTGCTTACCTTCAATAATAGCTAGAGTTCTATTCAGACACAGATTAGGAAGCATCCTGACGACATTTCTTAAGATATATGTGGGAGCGCAGTATATTTGCTGACTCCGGAACTCTTTTCTATGTCTTGCATTGATTCAATGGTAGCAGAAAAAATAGACAGCGTTCTCAAACTTGCCCACATTTAGTGTAACTCTTCCAGTGACCTTGTGTAAGACTTGACAAGCGTGAGCCCGGTCCGTCTGTTGGTTTGCATTTTGAGCCATTTGTCTTTTTGAATTTTACTTCGAAATTTACCGAAATGGAGCTCTCTGCATTGGAGTCTTCACTGTTACTAGTCTGACCTTGTGGTGCGAAAGCTAGGAGGGTCTCTGCAGACTCTTTGCAGTGTCCTGGATAGTTTGGAGATGAGTACTAATTGTCATTTCTTTCTCTCACAGCTGCATATTCTCCAATTCAGCCTCATTCTCTAATAAAACATCAGCAGATTCCTCTTCATTCACCAACTTCCAAGGTGTCCCATCACCAGCTGATTTTGCAGCAGCAGCAGCAGCAGCAAGTCCAGCCACTCCCCCTTCAGAGTCCGAGTCAGGAACCCCCCGCCTCCCAGCACTGTGGCCCCGTGCCGAGCCACGGCCTCCCGGCGGCGCCAGGCGGTGCCCAGGCCCAGCACTGTTCACCCCTTCAGAGCCACCCGCCTCCGCTTCCGGTGTCCCCTCCCCAGCCCCAGGCAGCGCAGCAGTCGGTGGTGGTGTCCCCCCCACCGCCCCATTCTCCCAGCCCGTCTCCTGCGATCATCATTCATCCACAAGCACTTATTCAGCCCCATCCTCTCGTGTCCTCGGCTCTCCAGCCAGGGCCGAGCTTGCAGCAGCCCCCCACTAATCAGGTGCAGCCAGCCGCCCAGCCGCTGAATCTTCCATCTCATCTCCCGCTTCCAGCCTCCCCTGTGGTGCACTTGGGGGCTGTCCAGCAGTCCTCTCTGGTGTCCCCGGGGCCGCAGATTGTCTCTCCCACAGCGCATCAGCCGTACTCCGCACTGCAGTCTCCTCCGATCCCACTCGTACCACCCCCCCAGCTGTCCGCATCTCCTCCAGCCCAGGTCCCAGCACTGCCCTTGCAGTCTGTGCAGCCTGAAATTCTATCCCAGGGCCAGGTCTTGGTGCAGAACGCTTTGGTGTCCGAAGAGGAGCTTCCCGCGGCAGAAGCCTTGGTCCAGCTGCCCTTTCAGACTCTTCCCCCACCACAGACTGTTGCGGTCAACCTGCAAGTGCAGCCACCTGCCCCCGTTGAGCCACCAGTGGTAAGCCCTTGGGAGCTCTTTCACTTTCTCACAGAACTTAAAAGTAGAAATGACTTCTCCTGCCTTCTCTTGTGTCCCAAGAGCTAAAATGCCCAAGTTCCAAACCAAACCAGCTTGCCATCTCTAGATGTCACTGACTGTCCACAGATATACTGTAAGGAGACAATGTTGTTGTCTGTTGTAGAACAGTTGCATGCTTCATAATTTGTGGTGGTTATTAAAAGTCCATCGTTCGTTTTATTACTATTTAAACAAATCCATCTGCTATCTTTACAGAATTGATTTTTTTTCCCCAAGGGAATGCATTTGAACCAGTGTCATCTGCACAAAGTTTTTTCTCTTAAGGTGATTATCCTTCATAGAACCCTTCTGTTGGCTTGTGTGTTCTTAAACGTATGATTCGTAGAGCTAACCTTAGTTGTACAAATTCTGCAGTCTCACCTTCTAGGAGCACTTGTTTTGGGGGTAGAGTCAGTACGTTTGTGTCTGTGGTGTAATTTGATAAAGTGGATATTATGTAAAGCAGGGGGAAAAGATCCCAACTTTGTCATGACCCACACACCTTTTTTTTCTATTTCTCATTAAAAGTAAAAACACAGTATTAAAAAAAATCTCATAAATTTTAGTAAATTAAACAGTAAAGATTGGGGAGAGAGCCATTCATTGTGAGGCACAAACTTTTGAGGGATTGTCAATAGATGGAAATAATTCAAACAAAACTTTAACATTTCAAAATATTTTAAAATTTGATGTTTAACAAGAAGGAAGTTGACTTTAGACATTGATTTCTTTAGATAATTCTCTACAAGAGGTTTTTTTTTTGTTTTTCATTTCATCACAGTTTGCACTGGCCTCTGGATTCATATACAAAGTCATCAAAAAACAGAATTAAATTCCAACACTAGAAAAAAGTAAGCTTCTTATTAGATTGAACCAAATTTTAAAAATAAATCATTTTTTTCTGGAAACTTAGAAATATTCATCAGAAAACAAAGGAGTTTCAGGCTCAGAGTTCTTTAGAGGAAAACTTCCTACTTCTGGTTTCTAGGACTACAATTGAGAGCCACTTTACTAGGGTCACTGGCACTGATCTTAGTTGGCTTGAGCAGGTAACTGGTAATTTTCTCTCCCTTTATATACAGCTCTTCACTTTAAAAAATTTTAAGTTGAAGTACAATTTAATATGGGAAAAATCTAGAAATGAACCAAAAGATATATGTCACAAAAATGTGAATAAATTTTAATTTAACTTACTTTTCCTTAATTGTCATATCTGATTAGTCTTTTCAATTTAAAAATAAAATTTCCTTGTATTTTTTATCATCATTTGTTTTTATCACGATAAATCTTAGGGGAGTAGATTCAGGGTAGAAGTATCAAGTCTTAGTAGTTCAAGAGTATTGATGACGCAAAGAATTTGTCCTTATTGGTTCTAAAAAATGGACTCAAAAAATAGGTCTTTTAAAACAAACAAAAAAAAACCCCTTTCCTTTTGGCATTATTCTTCCTAATGGTTTTTTACTTTAAAAAATTCCTCACCTACCACTGTTTCTCATATTTTCTGTCACCTCATTTTCTGATGATTTAGTTATTTTTTCCATGAAAATAATAGGCCTTTCTATTATCATCTTTGGCATACTCATTATATTGCTATAGATTTTCATGGCGTATCTTTTTAATTGTCAATTTCCCTCAAGTTTCCTAATTTGTTTATTTTATTCCTGTACTTATTTTTCTCTTATCTTCTACCATCTCTACCACCTCCTCCCCCTAAAATGCACATGTCTATCTGGAGTACATTTTTCTGATTGTTTCAAAGTATTTAACCGGAGAGGTACATTTACATCATAGGGGGTATGAAAAATTGAAAAGGTAAGAAGTATTTAATAAAAATAAATGCAATATGCTTGTTGAAAGGGTTACTTAGAAAATAAAAAAATAAGTGAAGGTTTTCTTTTTCATTGGGTAGAATAACATGTGGGAAGGTGCATGATTTAGATTTAATGAACAAATATTTCTAGCTTATCTAGAGGGTCAGATAGGAAGAGTCCATTTTATTGGAGAATGTTATCAGTCCTCAATATCTTCATAACAGAAACATGTAAATTACTGGCCTACCAGAAATCTAGCTTTTCCTTAATTAACTTAGGAGGAAAACCACCATTTCTTTTCTTTTGTATAGCTTTGTAAGCTTTGCACAAATAGTGTATCTCACAATTTTCTTTGCTTTGGTTTTTGAAATATTGCCCAGTGTTTTTAACATTCCTAGCACTCCTTCATTCTGATTGGCCAGTAACTTCTCATGCTTTTATATGAGAGGTTCAAAAGAAAGTACAGGTAGTTGTAACGAGTGCAAAATAGTATAAATGTTCATTTTGTTGGATTAATTCAGAATATGTTCTTTGGGCTGTGGGATTTTCTCAATTTGGCTCCTTCCATTCCTTCTCTTTCAACATGTGTTAAAATGAGATGTGCATGACCCAACTTTTACATTTGTAACTCTTAAATAAAAAGCCCACTCAGCAGCTGCTCTGAATAGCATGCCAAGGGATTGAAGAGAATGTTTCAGTAGTTTAAAAAAGATCATGGTCATGGGAAGATGAAACAACTAAATAAATACTAAAGTGTAAAATTAGTAAGTTGAAAATAGATTAAATTTAGTAAATGCTTTACTACTAATACTGATCTAATTACTATTGACTCAACAATTTTTTCAGATTTTTTTTTTTTTTTGGTGGCAGGGAGGGGTGCAAATTGAGTTGATTCTGATTGTGGATTAACTGCCATCCAGTGACACATGTTGCCTTATTCCCTTTCGTGGAGGATTTTCTTTTTTATGTTAAATTGTTATGTTAATTTGAAGCTCCCCCCTGTTTTCCTCACTTGGCCACTTAGGTGGCCATCCCCTCCAGGGCATCGTTTGGAATTTGAAATTGGAGGTCTATGCAATCCTTGATTCAGTTCATGAAATAGGGTTCTAAATATAGGCTTGTCTGTAACCAGATATATGAAAGTTTTTCACATAGAAAGGACATTGAAATTTATCTGATGTCTAATTTGGACACAGCGTATTAGATGATGGTTGGTTCTACTTTGATTTCAGATGTATTGGAAATTAACTGATTTTTTATCTTAATTCTAGATTATAGTATACAAATTGATCTTACTGATTTATTTTAATTTGTCTAGAATAAAGCAAAACATGAGACATCTTAATCTTAGGTCAGCATGACTATTTGAAGATTTCTGTAATCCATCAAAGTTATAGTTAAATATGTCATTATAAGTTAAATTTTATAACCTCTGTCACACTAAGTACATCTAAGTTAGACTTTTTTGTTCCTCATCTAAGTTATTACGCTTAAGCTTTGGAACATCATGGGACCTTTTTATACCTAATTTGATATTTTACATGACAAAACATTTTAACAAGGTGATTTGAAGGTGTACGTAATTTCTGTGTCGTTTGTGGTTTTCACGTGAGTGGATTGGAAAACTTTTATGTGTGGTTTAATAAAAAAAAGTTTTTGGAGAAAGTTTTGAAAGCTTTAAGGGAGTGAGTGCTATCCAGAAAACCTAACTATGTTCTTTTGTAAGCCAAATTAAGAAAAGTTCTCTGGGTAAAAAAAGGGAGAGAGTTGCTTTAGGATCACTGGATGTAGAACTTGAAGGAACCATAGGGGTCATGTAGTTCAGCCACCTCATTTTAAAGATAAAGAAACTGAGGCCCAAAGGAGAAAGTGACTAGTCCAAGGTCACCCGTATATTCAGTAAGCAGCAGAGCTGAAATTCAAACCCAGGCCCTTGACTCCATATTCAGTGCTCTTTTTTTGTTTCATTGAGACAATCAGTCAGTGTCTTGTAACTTTAAAAAAAATTTCAATACTGCAGTGTTAAACAGGTAAAATAAAATTTTATTTCAAATGAAGAAACTAAATTTTCTCAGCCTAAGGAAATTCTCTCTGAAAATAAAGATTATCTAAAATTCCACTTTTATTTGTTCTCAGTGATTCTGATTCATTCCCATCTCTTATCAGCAAGCTTTTTATAATTTGATAACCCAGTAATTTAATTCTTTAAAGCTTTTTTCTCTGTAATAAAGTATTTAAATATGTAAATGTGATCAATGGTATAGATTAGACATTTCTCTATGACTTCAAGAACAGCTGTTTTCTTCTTAACAGATGCAATAAGTTTTGTTAATTGGACCCTTGAGGACATGAAAGAATAAAAGGGAATGGAAGCATCTTTTCAGATGTGAATGACTTTCTATCAACACTGACATATTTTCAGAACTTCTGAGATGTCTTACGTCGGTTTATGCTTTAGTGCTCATAATCAATAGGAAGAGGAGATGCTGGAATGGTTCTTAGCTTAAGCCTTATCCTCCTGGTCATCCCCTCCTTGAGAATACAGGTTTTTTTTGTTTTCCCATATAATCTGTATCACGTTGGCCAGCTTATATGGACATTAAAAAAAAAAAATCTAGAAGCTTTATTTTGAGACATAACTGCCCATCAGTCCACAGATATTTATTAAGCATTTTATATGTGTCAAGCACAAACTTATATTCTAAGTTAAACAATTTAAAAGTAGAAAATTTTCTGCAGTAGTCTAGATTTCAAATGTAAATTCCAGATGTAGTGTATCTTTACCACGTAACCACATTTAGATGTCTTGAGTATTGGGTTTGGGAATGATAGGGTGTTTTTCCCCTGCTTCCTTCTTTTTTTTTTTTTTAAAGGATTCTAAAGTACTGTACTTCTTATTAGGAAAAAAATGATTTCCAACATGAAAAATAATCTGCTGCCTTGACCATCATCTTTTCTGAAACCACAACGTATTTTAGCATGGCTATCCGTCTACCACCTGTTTTTAGTGAATTATCGTTCAGTATCTCAAGGAATTCCATTCAGTTATTTTCACAATTTTTTTTTGGCCAACCTTTGAAAATAGCAAATTAGATTTTATATTTACATGATTTTATTTTAATCAAGTTAATCAATCTTTAAAATTATATGATAGAAATATTAGCCAGAAGTCAGGCTAAACCAATGTTCTGCCTTCCATAGGTTTACCAAGTAGAGGATGTGTGTGAGGAAGAAATGCCTGAAGAATCAGATGAATGTGTCCGCATGGACCGAACGCCCCCACCACCTACTCTGTCTCCAGCAGCTATAACTGTGGGCAGAGGAGAGGATTTGTCTTCTGAACATCCTTTGTTAGGTAAGAAGAATAACCAAGTTTTCTGAAATTTGTCAGCTTGATATCTGTGTGCACTAGTTCTGATGGGAAAATAATTTTATTTTTCCTCTCAAGCAAGTCTTAACTGCTTATTATTAAATTGTTAAAAATTATTAGTTTGCTAATTTCAGCAAAAAAAAAAACCTCACGGAACTAGAAACACAAATCATAACCTCTTTGGAGAACAGATGTTCAATGATTTTTACAAAAAAAAATGCATTCTTGCAACATACTCTTCAGTAAGGTGTAAACCGATGTCCTCATCATAATTATTAAAAGCAATTTTAAGTTGGCCTTGATAAAATTTTCTTGGTTTTGAGAGAATTCATTTATGTAGACTTGTAGACCCTTAGAGTTAAAACGGATTGTAGAAATCTAGTCCGGTGTTCTTCCATTTTATAGATGGAACCCCTGAACCTCAAGCAGGTGAAGTCATCAGCCAGGGGGTGACCTGGGACTCAGACCCAAGTCTTTTGGCTCATAAGCCAATGTGTTTTCTACTCTGCCAAGCTCTTTGAAATCATTACAGTGATAGAATGTACAATCAGTAGAAGTAAAGGTAGGGCAGCTAGGTGGAGCAGTGGATAGAGCAGCGGCCCTGAAGTCAGGAGGACCTGAGTTCAAATCCATCCTCAGAACAAACAGTTGACACGTACTAGCTGTGTGACCCTGGGCAAGTCACTTAACCCCAATTGCCCCCCCCAAAAAAATGTCATGCGTTGATTAGGGCAAGATTAATCTCAGCTTTTTGTGTTTTCTTCATCTGTATTTCTTGTGGCCTACCTAAGAGTTATCAAACATGGGGCCCATAGCACTTCCACATGGGTCCTGAACCAGATTAAAATGTAAGTGGGAAATATTAACAAAGTAAATAAAAATACAGTAAAACAAAGGTAACATTACATTGTAAAACTCAGTCAGTACGCAGCCTGTAGCGAGCCTACGTACAAATCAGTGGCCCTCATTTCTGTTTGAGTTTGACATGACTGTTCTCCATGACCATTTTCAGTGGATCATCGCCATTATAGCAGTCTTGGAAATAAATCATAAAGACATATTGGCATAATTTCCTACCAAAAAAGTCATTCTTTATCAGAGCCATAACCAGCAATTTAAGTGCCTGGGACAAGTAAGATGAGAGTGGAAAGGACACTTGAGGAAGAACCCTGGAACACTGACTCACGGAATGGAGGGGAGACAGTCCCCAGAACACCCTGAGCATAGTGGGGAAGAGGGGTGAGGGGGGCTTGGGGAGTTTTTACTATTGTGGAAGAAAACAAGGCTGGGCTTGGCCTAGTCGGAACTCAGCCTGTGATGTGTGGGAAGGCCTTAGGATACCAGCTTAGTTGGCACAGAGCTTCATCACCCCGTGGATGCTTTTTTGTGAGTTCCTCTGGCTTTGGTAGCATTTTGCCAGGGAAGGAGTCTATCCCATAGGGAGTCTGGGCTTGTACTGCAGGACAGCTGCTGACCTCCCAGCCTGCGGGAGGGAGTGGTGATGGGGTGCTTCAGTGGGGAAGGCTCTGTGTTTGAGTCTGACATTAACTTTCCTATGTGAAGGGGTGCAGTGGTGACAGGACCATTGAGGGTTGGAGAATGTTAGTCTGTAGCCAGGTTAGCAAATGGAGGTAGTGTAAGGCAAGAACTTTTGCCGAGGACTGCTAGGTGGCGCAGTGGATAGAGCTCCAGCCTTGGAGTCGGGAGGCCCTGAGTTCAAATCCAGCCTCGGACACTTAATACTTACTATGTGACCCTGGACAAGTCACTTTTAACCCCGATTGCCTCACCAAAAAAGCAAAAAAAAAACAACTTTTGCCAAGGGGCTTCCTTGTTAAGGCCCTTGACTCAGATTGCACTGCCATTCACTGGGAGCTGCATCTTTTCTCCACTCCTCGTCTCACCAAGGGCTCTTGCAAACGCCTGCTGATTTCACCTCTGCCACAGCCCTGACCCTGGTGCCTTCATCACCTCTCACCCGGGCTTTTGCAATAGCTGCTGGTGGGTCTGCCTGCCTCAAGCCTCTGCTCGCTCCAGTCCATCCTCTATTCAGCTACTGAAGTGTATCCCACTCAGTAAACTCCAGTGGCTCCCTGTCACCTCCAGGAACAGACACAAAGTGCTCTTGTTGGCTTGGCCTTCAGAGCCCTTCATGAGCCAGGCCTCTCCTGCCTTTCTAGTCTTCTGGTACCTGACTTCCAGCATGTACACTTTGATCCATTGACACTGGCCTCCTTCCTTCCATGAACAGGACACTCCATTTCTCGCCTCTGGGCATTTCCTCTGGTTGTCGTCCATGCCTGGAGTGTTCTCCCTCCTCAGTTCTGACTCCTGACCTCCCTGGCTTCTTTTGAATCCTAACTAAAACTCCACCTTCTCCAGGAAGCCTTCCCCAACCGCTCTTAAGTCCAGGCTTCCCCTCTTTTAAGTATTTCCTTTTTGTCCTGTGTATAGCTTGTTTTGTATATGTATTTTTTGCATGTCTTTCTCCCCCAGGAGATTGTAAGCTCTTTGAGGGCAGGAGTTATCTGTTGCTACTTTTTGTATCCTTAGTGCTTAACATAGTGCCTGGCAGGTAGTAGGTACTGAAATGTTTATTGAATTGAATTGAAAAGTAGGGTGAGTCATCAAGAATGAAAACTCCTTGAGGTCAAGGACTGATCCCTTAGTCTTTGAATCCCCAGCTTCTGGCACATAGTAGGTGCTCAATAAATGCTGTTGATTGCTAAGCCCAGCTGGTTCATCATGTACCAGACAAAGATTTCCTTCTAAGACAAGACCCCCAACAAATGTTTACCTAAGATTTGCTTGAAGACCTCGAGTAAGGGAGTACTTACTGCATGTGAGGCACATTGGAATAGCTTTTATTACTACAAAATTTTTCCATATGTGGAATTAAAATTATGCCTGATTCACCAGGAGGTATTTGGTAAATGTTCTTGTTGGCTTGTTACTGGACTGTTAGAACTAGAAGAACTACAAATTATCCGGTCCAACTCACCCATTTAATAGATGAAGAAACAGGCCTAAAGAAGGTGTGACTTTGGTGAGTTCACTCAACACAAAGCACAAGTTTTTGTTCCTCTTTCCATTGGCCCTGCTGCCTACTCAGTGAGAAAAACTGTTGTTAGTGATTTGGGGAACTTTTTACTCTCCTTTATTTTTTCTTTGGTTCCTTTTTTTGAACATTCTCTATGTACTTAAAACTGGGAAGGACACCACAAGAGAATTCGTAACTGGAGTTAATTTGTTTGAACTATTATGTTGTTGGTTTCTTCTGCTCTTAAAATTTGCCTGCTAGGTCCCTGAAAGGCCAACAATCATTTATAGCCTAAATGAAGCATTTTTTAGGTAAATCATATTAGCAAATTAGTAATTATTATCTGAAGAAACTATTTCTTAATATACCAAATGCAACAATTTTATGAGCAAGCCAAGTTATACATAATACAAAATGATTTTAGTTCTTTATGAGACATTTTTAAAAAAGGAACGTATTCATTTTCTAATACATGTTTATAATTTTTTTTCTACCTTAGGAGAAAAATGAGAAAACTTCTGTGTTTTCTTTTCTTTTTTTTTTTTTTGTTGGGTGAGGTTGTCAGGGCTAAGTGACTCGCCCATGGTCACACAGCTAGTAAGTGTCAAGTGTCTGAGGGCAGATTTGAACTCCGGTCCTCCTGACTCCAAGGCAGGAGCTCTATCCACTGTGCCACCTAGCTGCCCCTGTGTTTTCTCCATGGCTTCATTAGTTAAAGAAATTTTATATCTGTCTCTTCCTTAAAGAAAGAATTAGGATGGGAAAGAAAACATTTGTTTCCCCCTACTATATTGTATGAATTTGGGTAAGTGGAGTAGGATTTTATGGCATTCCAACAATCCCACAATTTTCAGAAAATACTAGAATGAATCAGTGCCCTCAGACATGGAAGAATCTAGCATGTTCTTTCTATTGGTGTTTCCAGCCTACTTTCCTTACTCCTTCTTTAGCTGTTTGGTTTGGGAACCTCCAGAGATAACGTCTGGGCTTTTTCAGTTGAGCGCACAGTTACTGATCGCCCAGTACGTACGTGTCATTTTGCCAGGGAGAGGTCCTAAGCACAAGTGAGAAACTGCCTGTTCCCTTCCAAACCCGCTTGTCTCTGCTGCCTTCTTGCCTGGTGCCTCTGGCGGGGCCCCGTCCCCCTTCAGCTTTCTTTTGAATAGCATCTTCCCCCATTTGATTTCAAGCTCCTTGAGGGCAGGGCCTGCCTTTGCTTCTTTTTTTTTTTTTTTATTTTAATTTTTTTTATTTTTAGGCAATTGGGGTTAAGTGACTTGCCCAGGATCACACAGCTAGTAAGTGTCAAGTGTTTGGTCTGAGGCCGGATTTGAACTTGGGTCCTCCTGACTTCAGGGCCAGGTGCTCTATCCACTGCACCACCTAGCTGCCTCTCCTTCTTACCTGTATCCCTAGCAATTAGCACAGTTCGTAGCGCATCATGGCTTAGCACGGTTCTTGGCACATGGTTGGTGCTTCGTAACTGTTCATAGGATTGTATCATATGGAGTTTGCATTCTGGAAAGAGGATATAACATATAGATAATTATAATGCAAAATCATGTAAGATCATGGGATCATAGGCAAGACCAACCAATCCTCTCCTTTTATAGATGAAAAAACAGGAGCAGCTAGGTGGCGAGGTGGATAGAGCATTGGTCCTGGAATCAGAAGGACCTGAGTTCAAATCCAGTCTCAGACCAGACACTTAATACTTACTAGTTGTGTGACCCTGGGCAAGTCACTTAACCCCAATTACCTTCCCCCCCCCCAAAAAAAAACCAAAACAAAACAGGCAGACAAAGGCGATGTGACATGCCCAGCATCACATAGCTGGTGAGTCTCTGAGGCACAATTTGGACATGTTGTGAAATAGCATATGGTAAATACATCCACCAAAGGATAAAAATCAAACAGGCAGAAGGGCCAACGTTTTATACTAGGGACAGGAAACAGGGTGGGCAAAGGCCCCAGAGCAGCAGAGCACAGGGTGTATTGGAAGAGCAGGCCTGTAGAAATCATATGAGGAAAGCTGGAACGTGTCACTTTTGCCAGATTGTGGATGGCCCGAAACGTCAGGACGGGGAGTTTGCAGTTTAATTGATAGGTGTAGTAGTGGGCCAGCGGAGATTTTTAAGAAGATGAATGATATGACCAGATCGAAGTATAAGCAACAAGATGAAGGATAGATTGGGGAGTTGAGGAGTTGAGACCCGGAAGGAAGGCCTATTAGGAGGTGATTGTTGCAGTCTGAGCCGGCACGAGGCGGGAGGGGTAAGTATCAGAGCTGGTGGAGAGGACTCAGGAACCAGTTGATGAGCATTGAGGGAGATGACAGAAGCAACAGTGATGCCTGGCTGGGTGAATAGTAGGGACAGTCAGAAGGAGGAACCAGGTTTAGGGGAAAAGATATGTTTGATTATGTTGAGTTGGAGGTGCCAGTATCTTCTAGGTGGAGATGGTCTTTAAGGCAGCTGATTTTGTAGTCATCTGCGTAGAGATTAATTGTGGAAGCTGTGGTGGCCTCAGACAGAATCTTGGTGAACAATGACAGTATAGGGCTGGAAAGAAGAGGAAAAAAGGGGTGCTAGCTGGTAAAAGAGTGAGAGAAAGAAGAGTTATCAGAATAAAGGAAGAAGCCAAAGAGCGGGATTTCTTTGAGCTTGTGGGAGGAGAGAGACGATGACAGACGGTCAGGAATATTAGATACTGCAGCAAGCGAGAGGCCCAGCTGTTGGAATGGTTCTCGTTAGGAGGACACTGCCCGGCCCTTTGCCCCTTGGAGGTGTCTCTTCCCTCCATACCTGTCTCGAGGGATTGCTTGCCTTCTGCCCAGTTCCTGTAGACGTCATCTCGCTCCTTTCTTTTTCATTGTCTTATGCTCTGGCTTCTGTTCATCCAAGAATGAATGATGAATGAATGAATGAATGAATGAAAGGCTGGCATTCCTGGGGAGGAGGAGGTCTGCACTTAGGTCAGTAACGACAAACTCAGACAGAAGCAGATGTCGGTGCCCGTGGACCACCCGTGACAGCTGAGCTCTCCCCTCCTGTGCTTTCCACGGTGGGGAACTACAGAATGTTTCCGGAGCGCCTTCCCCATGCTGGTGGCTCCATGTGGAACATGGGCAGAGTTCACCTCTCCTGCAGCTTCACAGAGTGGGCCGTTTGAGAAGAGCCCTCCGGACTGCTGAATGTTGTAACTGATGCTTCCTCCCTTCTGTTGTCTTTAAAAATAGTCTGACCGTGAAACACAGAAACAACCAGCCTCGTTTTTTTCAGACCAAGTGGATCTCCCTGCAGTGGCATCAGTCAGCGCATCCGTGATTAAGTCCCCGACAGACCCTCCCCACGCCTCTGTCCCCCCACCTCCACTTCTGCTTCCGGCTGCTGCCACACGGAGCCATGGCACATCTCTGCCCAGCAGCGTTCCCAATGTAGAAAACAGACCTCCCCAGGCTATTGTGAAACCGCAGATCTTGACCCACGTTATCGAGGGCTTTGTGATTCAAGAGGGGCTGGAGCCATTCCCTGTAAGTGCCGGATAAGTTTATATTTTTGGTCACGTGTATTCAAAAAGGTCAAATCTAGTGATAATTTCATAGATTTAAAAAACCTGTTTATTACCACACTTTAAGAAGAATTCTGAAATTAAATTTTTTTCAAGCATTTATGTAGGATTCTTTTTTATGCCAATAAAGTTATGTTTGTTAAATGCACAGTCGTTTTGTTGAACTGAACCAACACAGAAACAAAATCAGAAATTTTCTCTGTCTTGAAAATGAAAATTCCTTTACTTTTCCTAATTTTTAGGGAAAAATAACCAGAAATTTACCCAAACTGACTAAACTCTCTTTTTTTTTTTTTTTTAACTATACTTTAAGGTACCTGAATGGTTAAGAAGTGTTCACATTGGAAACAATGTAGTTTCCTAAACACTGTGCATTCATTTTTGTAAAATTTTGAGATCTAAATTTTTTTTCCCTTCCTCTCTCTCCATCCCCTCTCCCCACACAGCAAGCAATCTGCTTGAGGTTGTACGTGTGCAGTCATGTTTCCACACCTAAGCAGTCTGGCACTTTGAGAGGGGCCTGTGTGTGATTATTCCTGCCCCGCAGCTAACCTGCTAGTGACTCTGAAAATATGGATGCTTTGGATTTCTGGTTCCTATCTAACAAGTGGTTTTATCAGGATTCTTGTCCTTTTAAAATCTCAACTTTAAGTCAGAGAAGCTCTTAAAGAAAATTAAAAGTGTTGGCCCCTGCTCTGGTCATGTGGTTTCTGAAGCAGCCTTGGGCTTCAGGCTGGCTGAAGTCTGGCTATGCCAAGACTCCCTGGCAGTCTGGGGAAGCCAGGGCTAGAGCCCTTTCTGGAATCATGGTTTTAAAAAAAAATCCTGTCTGAAAGAAGTGCTCCATTTTTGTTAGAGGTTAGTGAAAATAAAGCTGTTTTTTTTTCCCATCCACATTCACAGACCACTTCCTCCCTCTCTAAGTCTATCCAAGACCCCCTTGGTAGTCCATGCCCCTGACTTAGAGGATAAAATACAAACTTCAGAGATGCAGCAGGCTGTCTAGCAAACCCTCATTTTGTAAATGAGGAAACTGAGGCCCAGAGAAAAGAAGAGACAGAGGTGAGATTTGAACCCGTGTTCAATCCCTGGCTTCCAGGATTCTCACTAGTGAAAATCTTCAGTTGTCTGTTTAGTTTGCTTCATATTTAGTAACTATTTTCTAAAAATAGATTTTATTACTCTTGTATCTCTGTCAGAATTCTTAAAGGACAGAATAGATACATAAATTTTTTGCTTTGCATCGATTTACATTGAAAGAAATTAATGTCAGTGCTCAGCAGCCTTTCTGCCCCCTCCTTCTGTGCCATGTCTGGTGGGAGCTCCTTCTGAGGGTCCAGCTTTTTGTCCTGGCCTTCTTTGTAGCGACTCCTCCGTTTGGTCTCAGCTGCACTAGATTATCCACTGCATTCACGATTTACTAAACCAGTCTCCCATTGTGGAACATCTGAGTCAGTGTTGGGTTTTTGTTTTTTGGTTTGTTTTGTTTTTTAAGTCTTTGAATAGATCACTCGTGTCCCCAGTACTGAAACTGCTTGGTCAAGTGGTGTTCCTTTTGTGACCTTCATTCCATACTGCCAACCTGTTTTCCAGTATGTTACTGTATTTGTTTTTCCACAGTGCGTTATTGGGCTCTTTTTGCTGGTTTGATTACTGTGAAATAAAAGGGGTAATAGATAAATTCGGGTCCTTCCTCAGACACTTAGTGCTAACATTGTGAGCCTGGGCAAGTTACTTAACCTTTATCTGCTTCAGTTTCCTCATCTGCAAAACGGAGATACCAATAGCATGTACGTGCAGAGGTGGTTATGAGGATAAGATGAGATGATATTTGTAAAGTGCTTTGCAAATATTACAGCCGTATGTAAATGCTAGCAAATGCTAGCAGTGTTGTAATTATAGTATCTCCATATTGTTTTAATTAATATCTGATTATTAGTGATGTTGAGCACTTTTTCAAGAAATTATTGACAGTTGACAATTCTTTTGAAAAATTATCTATTTTATGTCCTTTGACCATTTCTCCTCTGTGGTCTGACAGTTACTTTTGTAAATTTTGAGTAGTTTCCTTATGTATCTTAAATATCATATTTTATCTTTCTTCTAAGTGCTTACAGAAGTCACTTCTAATTAGAGTGTCACTTCAGAAACTTTTTAAGAAACGTTATGTATTTAAATTGACTGCCAAGCATATCACAATTAATGTATTTGAGTATAAGGCTGTTGGGTTTCCTTTAAATCCTTTCTAGGATTAAATGTGCAAATTTCACATCCTTTGAGTAGATGTTCTCTGGAGACCTGTAACATTTGTGTGTTTGTTCAACTTGTTGGATTTTTCAGAATTTAAGAACAAAACAGCTAATTGATTTACTTGAAAATGAGATGTTTTAATTAACTTCATTTTCTAAGCAGTGATGGTTAGATGTAAAATCCTTTTTATCTGAACTTTTGTTGAAACTCTACAAGATGTTAATTCAGTTTTCTGACTTTTTTAATGTAGTACACACATTTGAAACTTTTGGCGATCAAAGATTTTGTGGTGTGTGTCATTCTATGGTTCATTCTTTTTCTTTTTCTTTCCTTCCTCCACAACCAAATTTATTTTTTCTTCCTTATGTTTTGAATGTTGGCAGTTTGATAGTTTAATAGTCAATTACTAAGTACAGTCTTGTTACCTTTAAAGTTAACGTACAGTTCTTTTAAGAATTTTTTATCTATTCAGCTAGTTTAGTGATCTGTAAGTAAATTTAACATGAGAATAGTATAATTTTCCTCTCAATTCAACCATTATAATTTTTTCACAAGTATAATTAGAAGAGGTTAGGAGTATATTCCACCTTTCAGTGGAAAAGTTGCAGTGAAACATTTATATATGAATGAATGGAATCTTTAATATAGATTGGATGAAGGATCCTATTTTAAATAATCAGTGTATTGAGGCATTGAACTTACTCTTCCAACCTACGTGAGCACAAACAAGTTGGGTTCCTAGAGCAAGGTTATATCTCCCTCTTAAGGTTCCAGGGGTACCCCCAAAGAATGCTGGGGGGCTGTCTATCTCTCTAGGCTTCAGCTTGAGCTCCCATTCTGGACTGTTTTCCCCAATATCAACCACCAGTTATGGTGCCCCAGTTTGATTTAATCAGCCCAAATCATCTAGGTTTTTCAGAGAAATATTTACTGTGAAGATGTAGCAGGAGCAGTAGTAGAAACATTCACAAACCTTGAGAGCACATGGCTTCCTTATCTCTTCAGTCCTTGGAGAGAGTAGGCTCCAACCTATAGGAGTTTGTACCTAGCATTTCCTAAGTTCACTTCCAAATACAGCGTAGTTGATGGGTGGGTGAGGCCTCATCTCTGCTACTGCTGGTCTTTCTCAAGCAGACTGCTCTTCTTATTGGCAGTTGACATTTGACAGCCCAGACCCTGGGCTGGGTCGCCTGCAGAGTTTGGACTTAGAGTGATCACTCTTCTGACCTTTCAGAGGTCACAGGTCCCTAACCATCTTGAACACTCCCTCATCTAAAAGCAGGAAGAATAAAACTACAAATCAATTTCTGGACATGAAAAGAGGAAATTAGTTTTTATAAAACTGTTGCATTTTTGTTTTGCTGGATTGTTTGTTTACTAGTACACAGCCCCCACCCTCTCCTTTCCTCCCTGAACAGGGCATGAAGTCTGAGCCCTTCTAGTTTTCTCCTCATAGAGGAAGGAGCAGGGCTCAAACCCGTCATGTGGAGCCCACACTCGCTTGACCACTGAATTTGACCTGACTTCCATTGTGCTAGTGCTTTCATCCTTGTTTACAGTATTGTAGTAGTATTCTGTATGCTATCCTTTTGGTTCTGTTCTTTACTGTCAGTACATACAAATCTTCCTGTGTTTCTCATCATTCGTATTTATCCTTCCTTGGGACAGTAATTTGCCAGTCCATCCATACGTCCCCATTTGTTCTGCCATTATCCACTTTGTGAGCATGTACTACTATTTCTATCTTTTTGCTATTACAGATAATTGTGCTATAAATATTTTCAAACCTATTGGACCTTTTTGTTCTGTCCTTAACCTTCTCAGGATATAAAGGTAGTGGTGGGATCTGTGGATCAAAGGGTAGGAACAGTTAAATAACCTTACTCACAAAATTCAAAATTTGGGGAAATTATTTATTTGACCAGAAGATATCTTACTTCGTTTTTTCCTCCCTTATGTTAGGTAAGTCGTTCATCTTTGCTAGTAGAGCAGCCTGTGAAAAAAAGACCCCTTTTGGATAACCCGGTCATGAGTGGCATGTGTGTCCAGGCGGAGCTCCAGAACAATACAAAACATGCTGATAATTCATCGGACACCGAGATGGAAGACATGGCTGCTGAAGGTCTGTAGCTTGCATCTAAAATAAGTCTGAAGTGGGTTGTGTTCCTTTTCACCTTTGACGTTTGGGATTTGATGCTTGTCCGTTCCAGTTCTCTGGTGTTGATGCTTTGAAGAATCTGGGCTTGCCTTGGTGGGGGCACTCCATCCGTCACTGCATGTGAACATGCTCCTTCCTTCTTCATTCTGTCCATGGGCTCCCATCGATCCTCAAGGGAAGGCTTTCCTTTGATTATTTTAGAATCTCTGGGCTGCTTGTATCTCTTTCAAAATAAATGCCACATTCCTGGGGGGTACAAACAGATTACAGCATGTTACTAAGATGACTTGCATGCCACGAGGGATAAACGATATTTTGTTTTAATGGTTGAAATTGCTCACTTTTTTCAGTTTCATCCATACCATTATCAGTTTATTATACATCTGTATGTGAATGGCTGGCTTCTGGAAAAGTTCACTTCGTTCAAGAATTAGCATTTTCCTCCTTTACGAATCTTAGAAAAATGAAATTGCACCCTCCCAAAAAAAGTATTCTTTCGTTTCTTATTAATGTTGTGCTGGTTTGGTTTCCTATGTGAGCTAGAAGGTTAGCATAGTATTATTAGAAACCTTAATTAATAAATTTTTCTCATGGGCCTCGTTTAAGATACTTTTATTTCAATCACTAGAATGCCCTCTTTGGGTCAAGTACAACACTTTAGCTAAGGAAGTTTTTATTTTGAATTAAAAATAGGAAAAATAAATGTGCTGAAACAATTTTTGATCCCACATACTTCATGTGTCCTTTCTGTGCCTGCAGTAACTACTGTTTGTGCGTAAACATTTTCCTGCTCCATTGGGTTTCCGATGTGCTCTCTTGTGTACACAAGTAGGTAAAACATCAGAATTATTGGGTTTTTATTATTATTGTTCAACATATTTATGAAATAATTCATGGCAAATAGAGGATTATGGTGGGTGTGCAGGAGTGTCACTGAGAAAGAAGAACCCCTTATTCCGGATGCATAAAATATATAACGTGTAAGTCAAAGTCAGTTTTATTAACAGTGATTGATTTCTATATTTCTGTGACCCTGCTCCTTGTGTATCACATACCTTTGTCTCTTGAGAGAAATGAAAAATAGGTACTTACCACAAAATGATTGGGAACTCCTTAAACTCCTTATCCACAGTGGGGCAGATCTTAGGCCTAGGGATAATTTAGTTTTTCTTAGCAAGTAGCACATCAGATTGGTCAGTACCATTCAGGTGCTAGAAAAGGGATTTTAGAACTTATCTCTTCTCAGTATTTTTAGATGAGAAATTAAACCATGGACCCTTTTTTGTGTTAGGGTGCTCCCCCCATGGACCACCTTCCTTTCCCCATTTGTGTGGTCAAGGAGGCCCTTTCCAGCTTTGAATCTGTGGTGCTGTGATCATGATCTCACAAAGAAACAGCAACATTGCCTCTATTCTTTAGTTTTGGCGGGGGGGGGGGGGGGGTCTTCTTCCTAGCTTAGTGCAGTGCTTTTCTTCATCCAGAACCACCCATTCTATGTGACACATCTTCCATATCATGGGTGAACACCTTCGGTGAACCATCTAGCACACTTGGCTTGACACCAGCGCTCAGACTGTTGAACAGATTTGTCTCTGAAGCTGCTTCTTGATGTGGTCTCGGTAATTTTGATGTACAGTATGTTCATGTGACAACTTGTCTGAGTGAGTCTTCAGGTCTTCATTTTGCTTTTCTTTCTCAGAAAAAAAAATACCACATGAACATTGGTATGTTGGCTAGTGTGATGGGAGATGTGCTGCCTAATATCCAGACAGGAGAAACATCTGCTGTGTTAGTAAGGTTCTCCCAGTGCTTTTATTAAAAGATGGAAATAGAAGCCCACGTTAATATATGGCTTTGAGGCTCCCAGAGTGCTTTCATCACAGCAGCTTAGGGGAGAGGCAAGAAGATGGTCTGTGGTTATGAGGCATGGACCTGAAGTTCCACTGCTCAGCTACACCCTGCTGACCTACTGTATTAATTACATTCAGCCTCTGATGTAGGGCAGAGCCTTGGTGAAATACACCATAATACTAAACAATCTGGCTAAACGGGATCCTGGAGCAGAGCGATGAAAACATGCATGGCTTGGATGCTGTGCACCTGAGGAGGGACAGCCTACTGAGTTCATCCTGTTTTAGAGAGGCATATTTTAGAGAGGCCCTGAGGGTGGGCCATGAGCTGTGTCCATAGGAGAGTGGGGGGAGGAGCAAGAGGAGATTGGAATGGAAAACTGTGGGACAGGGCACAGTGTTGTCAGGGATTCCAAACCACTCATTCCTTCGGAAGCCCATCTCTTGGGGATGCTTTGGTGAAGGCCATGGTCTCCAGAGAACTAAAATGCTCAGCATGCATAGCATGTTTCTCCTGTGTCAGCGCTCCATGGCCTGAAGTGTAGAAAGTAGAATAGAGCTTCTCAGCCTTAGGTCTGGAAGGGGGGCCGCAACGCAGGGTCACAGAGGTGCACGGTAGCAGAGCCTGGACTCACCTTGAATACACAATCTCCTAGTTCAAACCCAGTTTTCTTTCTGTTTTGCCACATTGCTCAGCATTCAGGATTCATGTGTCTGGTGGTAGGATAGTATCACAGTGGAAAGGAGATGGGTAGCCTGGGAGATTGCTGTACCCTGTGATATGAAGGAGCAAGGAAGGGCCTCAGCTTGCCAAGTAGAACATTTATGGAGGATTTATTAGGAAACATGGACAAAAATAATATTGAATCAGGTATAGAGGACTTGTGGTCCATATCAGGCAAGGGAGTACCCTCCCTGATGAAATCTCTGGTTTGCTCAGCTGTCAAAATATTCTTGGTAGGCATACAGGCACACTTGTTAAAATTCAGATATGTGATGGTATTGTCTTAGGTTTCAACCTTGGCCTTAACGAGGCATGAAGCGGGGAGGGGGACGATGAATGTCTCAAGTTTAGACTCTCTTCCTTCTTTCCTTAACTTTGTTACAAAATTCCTTTCATACCCTCTCCCTCAACACCTTTTTTTCCTGTGGTCAGCAGGCTCCTTCAGTGGTCAGGATTGTTGATATGATGTGTCGTGTCTTGTATTTTTGAAGTTTAATTTTTTTTGTTTATTTTACTCAGTATTGCTAGTTAATCATTGTGAGCTGTAAAATGACGTTATCTTTTTCTGTTTTCTTTGACTCTTCCAGTAATTTGAAGGATGTTATTTTTTTAAATGTCAAAACTGTCAGCTGATGTTTCCCCTCCTCACCCACCATTTTTTTCATTAGAGTTTGGCAATCATGAATTCTATTCTGAACTGTGTCTGTGTAGTGATGGTGTGGTGAGCTAATATTCTGCGACACAGGGCCTTTAGTAGTGTCCACCTGGTCACAGAGAAAGTCCATTTGGCCTTGATGTTACCCTCAGTCTCTGGTGGTTGTGGTTGAGAGGGATACTGTGGGGTTGACTTTGAGGTCCAAGTCTCTGGGCTACCTCTCATCATCCCAGCTGAGGGGGAGCCCTGAGGTCTACACAGCCTGGTCCCCTGGGAGCAGGACCAAGGACAAAGACCTGGTCTGGACTGCTGGCCCTCTGTAGCCCTGGGCAAAGTTCTTTCTCCGATTTACTAATTGAAGAAAGATTTTCTCATTACTACTGTTAGAGCAATAAGTTTTACATGTACTTTAAAATACTTTTTAGTAGAATTTTTTTTGGTTTATTCATACATAATAAAGTGTTTCTTGGAACTGCAGGTTGTTGCACAATATTCTTTTAGCCATTCTTGGTATCTTTCACTTGCATTAATATTTTACCATCTGTCTCACCAGTGGCACCATGATGTAAGTGCCTGGCAAACTTCTTAATGAGTACATATCATCCCTATCTCTACATTTCAGGCTCCCTAATATTTATCATCTTAAAATATCCAAATGAGAATTTGTCTTTATACAAAGCTTTGTTAAAACGGACAACACAGAAAGAGCCCATTTGGCATTCACAACAAAAAACCTATTAACCAGAGAAATAATCTTAGTGCAGATTTGTGTGGTTTATGATTATAAACATGCAGGAAAAGAGTCATTAGCTTCTACTTGGCCAGTTCGGATTTTTTTTTTTTATTTGTTTGTTGTATTTTCTTTCTAGGCAATAGGGTTAAGTGACTTGCCCAGGGTCACACAGCTAGTAAGTGTCATGTGTCTGGTCTGAGACCAGATTTGAACTCAGGTCCTCCTGACTCCAGGGTCGGTGCTATATCCACTGTGCCACCTAGCTGCCCTGTCATGTGTACTCATGATGAGTGCTTCTCTAAGAGTAGTCCATAGTGGTGATCCTTAAGGGTCTTCCAGATAGGGTGGTCTGTGGGCTAAGTCTAAAATCCAAAAAACTTAAATTGATTTTATGTACATGAACATTGCATTAAAAATGTAACGGTCACTTATCTAGACAGGCTTCTGTGCATTGTTAAGAGGGAGAGAATGGTGTGGTTGGTCTGCAGAGCCGTTTGCTCTCCCGGGGCCCCTAAGCTACAGTCGAGGCTGCTTACTCTTGAAGGCTCACAAAACACAGTTATATTTGGAATTTTTTCTTCTTTTTTTTTTTAGAGGGATTAGAGGAAATGGACAGTGAGTTGCTCAAGTGTGAATTTTGTGGGAAGATGGGATATGCTAATGAGTTCCTACGTTCAAAACGATTCTGCACTATGTCATGTGCCAAAAGGTATTTTTTTGGTCTTAATATTTACTGAAATATAAAGATATTGGTTTCATAACTAAAGTTATGTATGATGATGCAGGTGTAGAATGGGAGAGTATAGAGGGATAATCATAATTTAGACATTTTCTGGAGCTCCTTTAAACATTCAGACATCAGATTTGCTACTTAGAAATGCTATATTCATAGTAGTAGTGTTGATCATAACTTCTGTTGGAGTAGCAGCAGATGAAATGCTCTATTGTCATAGCGTGGTGAAAAGATTAGTGCCTGAAAGGGCCATCTTCTGTGTTAATGCTGAAGCATGATTGACAATCTCTCCCTCCCCAGCCCCCCAATTCCTGTGAGCCAGACAATATTTATGAAGTCCACTGAGACACTGAAATGAAACCTGGCTTAACTTTATTTTTCCAGTATTTGCAGGAGGCCTGCTTTATTCCCCAATTTTAAAATGACATTCAGAAATTAATCTTACTAAGATCAAAATATCTTTCTCACTTTTGTGTTGTCTTCAAATTAGGAAGATTGTAACTTAAAACATCTAAGAACCAAAAATATGAAAAAAAATAGATTTAGATAATTTGAAAATTGATCATATTCAATTGAACATTTTTAAATGTAAAAAATCCTTTTATCACTTCTTTCTGAAGATGGAACATGATTAATATTAACTTGCTTTTATCCTTTCAGATTTAAATTTGGTGAAACACGCGTTAGTGGTCTAATAAATATAAAGTAAAATACTCCAACAGGAAATACCCTAGATAAATTACACAGTAAATGTCTTACGTTTCTTGGCATTTAGAAAAATTGGCATTCCAGAAAAATTATTCTGGAACCTCCCCCATAATGAAATAGACATCTATGTATATATTCATTATTAAATGCCAGTGCCATTCAGGATTTATACATAGGTGCAACCAAAGTTTTTCTTCAAAGATTACCTAAAATTACCTTTAACTTAATAATACTGGAGGGATTGAAAATAACTATTTATTATTAAGAATAATGGTAAGCAAAATAGATCCTCTGGCTCCTTCATGACACAGTGAAGTACAATAAAATGCTATAATCGCCTCACTTAAAAGAATTTTCATTTAAAAAAAAAACTACAAAAACAAATATTATGTGGTTCTGGCACAGAGGCTTAAACAAATATTGGAAAAATAAAGTTAAGCTGGAACCATATAATATTTGTTTTTGTAGTTTTTAAAAAGTGATATTTGAGGAACAGTATGTTCACCCTTCCCATTCTCTCCCTACCTTCCTCCCCAAAACTCCTGAGCTGCCAGCGTTATCCACAACCTAATTTCATCCCTCTTATTTCTTAGCCCTTAAAGGGGCTGGAGGCACTGTGGGAAATGTTGCCAAGTATGAATTAAAAGAGACTTTCTTCCATGAGCTAAAAACACAAGTGGCTAATAAAGCCAGGGTCTTTTTTCCACTTTTTTTCTCTCTATCCCTTATGGAAAAGGTAAGCATCTTTGGATACATATAAGAGAAATTAAGAAAATTTTATAGTGGTCTTTCCAGAGATGAGTAGAATTGACAACAGTTAATCTATAAATATTTGGGGAGGGACAGATTTACAATCAAAGTCCCAGGCCTAGTGCATGTTTTTCTGTTGGGAAAAAATGCACGCTCTATTTATTTCCATAATTTACTATTTTTTATTTCAGGTATTCTCACTCAAAAACATGAATTGAGAAAAACTATTTTTGTCTATTTACATACTACTCTGATGAAATCCTTAGTGACTTCTAATGATTATGAGACTTTTTACTTCTGTATGTTAAAGAATACCATAAAAAATATTAACCAGTGGCAATTTTAATTGGAATTGAGAACTAACATTTCTGTCTTCCTTTCTTCACATCACATTCCTTCTTTAAGCTCCCTCCCCCTTAAAAGAAAAAAAAAAAGGAGATTATTTCTATGTGCATAGACTTGGAAGACCTTAATGGGTTTGGGTGGGGAGGGCACTTGAGTAGCTCTACCCAGGCTGGGGTGGTTCGGCTACCGCTGGTACCTCCCAGACCCTGCTTTTGTCTCCTTGTACCGGAAAACAGTCACGCAAAACAAGAACATCGAGGGACCTTTCAAACTTTCATGATTCTAATATTCTCTGTATGTGTATGTATCTTTTAGTAAAATGTAATTGAAAATATTTTAATTATGTCAGTGAATGAAAAATATACTTTGTCATTTTAAAAAAGTATTTATCTTTGCTTCTTTCAGAAGTCTATCACATGTACACTGGAGTAGGGGGTGATGAAGCACCTGCCGTTTTGAAGGCTTTAGTTAACATTTTCACTTCCTAGTCTCAGTCATATTTTGAAAACTTTCTTAAGATTTATTTTGTATCTTTCTGCCCCAATTATTTAACATTTTAAAGGAAATTACAATATCTCATAATTATCTTGATCTTTATCCTAAACCTTTTTGCCAATTCTAGCTGAGGAAAGCAACATGTAATAGCAGTTAAACCATTACATACACAGTAGGAATTTTGTTCTAATGGTGTTGGGGAAAACAAGAATTACCCTGTTGTTAAAAGCTTTCTGTATTAGAGTGAGATGTGTCATGGTTTTACCAAGAACACAGGCAAGTTTGTTTAATGGCGAGGTCTCAGTGTTTATTAAAAGTATATGGTACTTTAGTAATAACATTTACTTAATTTCCAAGCGGTATTTGGCAATAAAAAGCTGCTCTCATTTTGAATCATTGAATGCATTTTGCTTGCTTGGGTTTCTTAGGTACAATGTTAGCTGTTCCAAGAAGTTTGCACTTAGTCGTTGGAATCGGAAGCCTGATAATCAAAGCGTTGTGCATAGTGGCCGTCGTCCAGGTGGCCCTGACGGGGCAGCACGAGAACATTTTCCTAGGCAGGTCTGTAGAAAATTTGCTTCCCTCTATAATGCCCTTTTCAGACATGCGAGGAAAGTACAATGCTGTATTTTACTTGTACTGCCTTTTCCAGCTTCCCATTACTTATCCATCTGCAGAAGAAGGCTTGGCTCCTCACGAAGAGCCTGTGCCAACTGCTATGATCACCCGTCTTCGAAGGCAGAGCGAGAGGGAGCGAGAGCGTGAGCTCCGAGAGGGCCGGCTCCGGAAGGCGCCTGACAACACTGACTTGCTCCCGGTGGCGCAGACAGAACCATCAATATGGACAGTTGATGAAGTGTGGGCCTTCATCCATTCTCTGCCAGGTGTGTGGTTCAGTCTTTTGATGGGCTCTTTTTCTTAAGCAGATGACCCAGGAATGGCGTTGGATTTCTACACTGGGTGCACACGATGTCTGTTGAAGTGCTTTGTGTTTGTGTTCATTGGCAGTCGCTATTTAAATGTGATTTGTTTCCTCCTGTTTATTCGCTCAGCACAACTGGGTATTCTCCCCCCCCCCCCCCCCCAAGCTGATAGAAACTGACCAGTCCTGCTCCTGCTGTGCCACCCCCTCACTCCGCCCCACCCCAGCCAGTGAAAACAGTAAAGGGGCTCTCCTGTCTTCAGTCTCATTTCTCTCTCGAGGTCAGTAGAGAGAGTGAATCAGACAGTCCTTTCCTTCTACTTGTCTCTTTTTCTATTCTTCCCTCTCCTTAGTTTTTTCCCTTCTTTCCATCCTTTTTTGAGGAAAAATCATTTTAAAAAAGATGCCTTTTATGTTTTTGAAACTCAATCAAGATCTTTAGTCTATAAAATGATTTTTCTTTCTTTGAAAGAAAAACCAAGCTTGTTTGTTTTTCCCAAAGAGCTAACTTCTTCCAATTTTTTTCAAATAAAATATGCTTCTGAAATTTTAAATTAGGAGATACAAAAGTATTCCATTTCACTTGTTAGAGTGAATATGTGCTATTCTTTCTTGTTTACATTTTTCATACTCACTGTCATGTGGGGTAATACTCTTTTCATCAGCTTGTTTATTTTGCTCTTTTTCTTTTTCATTGCAACAATAACCTTCCGATATATGCTTCCTCGAGGGGCGGTGGGGAGCTGGTTAGCTTATTTATGTCACTGCAGAAACCTGTGCCTTTGCTGATGACGATTTTCGTCTACTATTCCTATCATTTATCCTGGCTCATTGCATATGGCTCACAAAGAGAGCTCCTTTCCTCTTGATGTATGTTCTCTTTTGGGATTTATAATAACATTATGTAAGTTTCTTTTGACGCAGGCATTTTAGAAGACAAGGCCTCTTTGGCAAATGTGCTTGCCAGAACCATTAAAAACTGTCCAACAGTTAATCATTCTTTATGAAGGGCAACCAAGGTTTCAAGATTACATTTAAAATACATAAAAAGTGGCAAGAAAAAAAGCGCTTTTTGAAAAGTGCTTATTGTTTTATATCTACCAGCTTGATAACATTTCCCTAAGAAAGAACACTTTTCTTATCAAATTGAACTGACCAGCTTATTCTAGAAAGCCTTTTTTTTTTTTTTGTATCCTACCCCTCTCAAGTAGGCCACTCTGAAAGGACAGAGAATGATTTAAAAAAAAAAATCCTTTACAAGGAAGTTAACATATTTTTGAACACAATCCCAAGAGTCTTGGTGCCAGTGAGTAACGGTGAGCAATCAGCTTGTAGATGCTTAGAACCAGAGTTCTAGAGGAGTGTTGCCTTTTCATTGGCTGATGTTTTTGTATTCAGTGGAATGTATTTCCAGTTTCAGACCAGTGTAGATGTTTTGTGGTTGTCGGTTTTGGTGCCAGTAATGGAATCTGCTGCCCATGAGCACATTTGAAATCGTCCAGGATTGGGGTTTGGCCTTTGTCCTCAGGAGTGACCTCACCCTGCTGAATTAGGTCTGGGAACTGCTCATTTGAAGGACAGCTTGACGTGTCTTCTTCCAGATGCTAAGGGAGTTGTTTTTTAATGTCAAAAATGGTGGTTGCTCCAATAACAGACAGACCTTGTAGATCTTCTCTTAGTCTTCATGATTGTGCCCAGAAACTGGTTTTTGGAATGCTTCTGTTTGATCTGCGTATTCCAGGATTGGAGGTAATAGGTCACTTTCACAAACACAGGCGTTGTTGCCCTAATTTCCTGGGGGGTCTGTCCATCGTGCACCAGGATCCCCATGCCTAGGACTGGCAGGCTGGCACCTTTATGGACAGCTAACAGTTGTCCATTTGCCTTCACTGGGAGGGTAATCAAACTTCTTCTCATTGCTAATAATTCTTAGTAATGATCTAGTTATTCTGTTGTCAGGTATTGGGAATTAATCTTAGACCTTTGATAACTCAGAATTATTTCTCCACGTTGATCAAATGGCTCACTTTGACTCTGTCCTGCCTTCTGGGAGAGGGGGTTGCTTATAAGGGACTCTGACTTGTTCAGGTAAATAACTTTCCATTTACTTTGGCTTAGGGGATTAGTTACAGCCTCTTTCTCCAAAGTTTGCCCTCACGGAGCAGCTTACAAAGTAAGGGATCTTGTCCGAACGATAACGTTTTCTTCGTGTGCTTTGTGGCTCCACCACAGCTCACTTTGGGACTTCTTCCTGAACAGCATAGCTTTCTTTCTGAGGAAGGGGTATTTCCACATGAGCTTGACCTAAAGGAAGAATTTTCTTTGTGACCAGTAGTAATTTATTCATTCTCAGAATTAAGAACATTCTTCCTTCTTTCTCCAGGCCCCGTTGTATTTGTTCCAACAGTTTTATCTTTTTATTCTCCATATAAACGTGAGTGTATTACAGCTTATATGAGCCCAACTCCTTTACTCAGAGGAAAAGCAGAGTTCTTAAGTGACATTCTGTTTACTGTAAATTGATTTAGGATATCTATTCAAAGTTTTGATGTAATGAGCCTCTTGGGATTTGCCAGATGATCTTAAGTTTGTCCTCACTGACCCATCAGGTGAAAAACACGTTGCTCCCTCATGTCAGCTTTCGCTTTGAAGGCTCAGAAAAACTGTTCTCAGTCCTAGCCACATCACATCCTTTTGTAGCTATGACTGTGACTATGACTATATTGGTGATCATAGTATGCTCAAGAAGTTCCTGTTGTAATAATAAGTAGTAGCAAGTAATCTCTTTTTTCTCCCCTAATCAATGATGGGATTTTAGGGAGATGAGGAATGGGATTTTGTGTTGGCCAGATGTCTTCTAGCACATACAAAAGTTCGGTTTCACTAGTAGGAATCTGTGTCAAGAAATGTCGTCGTTTTATTACTAACTCGCAGGTCCTTTTACCAGCTTCTAGGGAGACAGAAGGCTATGTATACACTGATGTGATCTGTATTTTGTATACACCACAGAAATCATGTAGGCATCAGCAATGTTTGTTTTAACAGTGAACATAGTGGTTGCAGTGCCCAAGCTATACTAAATACCATTTGTCTGGAGAAAAACTTGTGAAACTCATTTTTCTCTAATTAGTTTCTAGATGCAAATTATCTTAATTCTAAGAAAAATAACTTTCTATTCTCTCTGGCTTGTCTCACATTAATATAGAGCCTATTCTGTGGTTGGAATAAGAAAGTTGTAGCCTAGATGCTGAAGACTCCATGGCCCCTTGAGATTACACTGTTTCCCAGAAATTTGCTTTCCCTGACTTTCACCGTTTTATTATTTCTTGAATACGTTTACCGTCCACTTGGAAATACATGTTTTTCATTAGGTTATTGTTTTACACTGAGGAACAAGAACGTGTAATAAGGTATTTCTCATCATGGAGAATTCCTTGCTTCTCTTCCCAAACACAGAATCTTTGAATTTTGGATCTTGGTTCCCTCTCACTGTGCCTGCTGTCTGAAAAAAGGCTGAGCTCTTTTTCTCTTCTTTTCTTTCCTGTGCTCTTGTAAATAAGACTGAAGAGAGAAGAATATTACATTCCCTCCCTGCCCCACCTAAAATGAAAACTAAGTTACAAGTAGATGCAAGATTAGTCATTTTCTCTCTGCCCGGTTTTGTTGAGAGCTCTATCTGGAAACAGAAAAGGGACTTCTCCGGGTTGAGTAACACCATTTTAACTGCATAGTTTCTCTATGTAAGGAGTTGAGGAAATCAGTAAAAATGTTTGTGAAGGGGACTAATGGGTCATTTGAGAAAACACTGAGTTATTGAAACAAAGATTTATAAGGAAAGGGAAAAAATCCAATTAAAATCCAGAAACAGAAAGGGAAACATGTTCTAATAACTGAACAGGATTTATGGTCTTAGTAGGAGTTAAAGCATTGATCTAGCCAGGCAGTTTTGTGAGAGGAAAAGAAGCTTATGTTAGAAAAAAGAATTGATTCTGTCGACTGTATGGGGTGCAAAGCTTCAGTGGAACAGCTTCACTTACCTGGATTCTCCATGCAGTTTCCCTTGTAAAGGTGGCTAGAATTTTCTTTTTCAATTCAACAAATATTTATTTATTATTTTTTTAATTTATTTTTCGTTTTCAACAATCACTTCCATGTGGTTTTGAGTTTTAAATTTTTCTCTCCCTCTGTCCCCCTTTCCCTTCCCACCACAGTGTGCAATCTGATATAGACTCTACATATCCATTCCTATTAAACGTATTTTCACATTAGTCATGTTGTAAAGAAGAGTTAAAACCAGTAGGAGGAACGGTGGCTGGAATTTAAAAGCGGTTAAGTACACTGTTACTTTGTATTTTTAATCATAATGGCCCAAATAATGATGCAGTTAAAATTTTGTGATTGCCTTGCCAGGCAGAGTTCTTCTGCTCTGCTCTTCTGGCTTTTCAGCTCATCACTCTTGGATTCTCTCTTCACGGAGAATGAAAGAAGAGATAAGGCATTTGTCAGAATTGTACCCAAACTAGAAGGACTTGATGTCAGATGATCAAGAATTGGACATTTGGCTAAAGATCAGTTTGGCATAGATAAATACTGTTCAAGGTCGCCACCTTGTAGAAGTGGAGACTGCAGTTAAATCTGAGTCTGGTTCACTCTGCTGCTGCTGCTGCTACCGCCCGTGACTGTGATTATACTTAGATTTGATCATTAAGTCTGTTAATTAAGCTGTGGGACAATTGATCCATGCTGACTTAAAGTGCTATATATGTTTCAAATGGTACCAACAGCTAGATGGGTTCTTATTGGTCTGGGGGAAAGATGAAATCTTCTTAAATGTAATTAGCTAATGACTGTCTGCTGTGCATGTGAAAAGTAAGGGATAATGGCCACAGAACTCTGCGGCTTTGAAAGAAGTGACTTCTTCTGAGTCAGGATTTGAAACTGATATGTTTTGATGTTTTAGTCCTCTTTTCAATGAAATGGCTATTATCCAAAAATAAGCTCATTCATTATTACTGACATCTTGTGGCATGCTGCATTAGGGAGATGTATAGTCCTAAAAACAATGTTATGTCCCACTCGCTTTCTGCCTTGCGCTTGAACTCCACTAATGGAGTTGTTAAACCAACAGAATTATGCTGTACTTTAGAGCAAGGCTGCTGCTGTGCCCAATGTTTAAAAGTCATTTTAGCCACTTACGGAAAAAAATTAAAAGTTGCTTCATTGGGGCAGCTAAGTGCAGTGGATAGAGCACCGACCCTGAGTTCAAATCAGGCCTCAAACACATAACACTAGCTGTGGGACTCTGGGCAAGTCACTTAACCCCAATTGCCCTCCCTCCCCCCAAAAAAAGTTGCCTCGTTTCATAAGTACCTGGAATTAATTATTCTTTTTACAATAGCATCATCACAATCGTGTCATTTTTTTTTCTCCCTTTCAGAGCCCAAGAGTGTCATCCATGCATTTCATTAGTTTTTCAGCAGATACCTACTGAAGGGTACCTGGCAATATCTTAGTCCCTGTTAAAAGTGAAATGTTGAGGGACAGCTAGGTGATGCAGTGGATAGAGCACCAGCCCTGGAGTCAGGAGGACCTGAGTTCAAATCCGGCCTCAGACACATAACACTTAACTAGGTGTGTGACCCCGGGCAAGTCACTTAACCCCATTGCCTAGCTAAAAAAAAGAGTGAAATGTTGTGTCTGATGTACTGGTTGTTTCTAACATGCTGCTTCTGCTCTTAATTACAGGTTGTCAGGATATTGCAGATGAATTCAGAGCTCAGGAGATTGATGGACAAGCTCTTCTCTTATTAAAAGAGGATCACCTTATGAGTGCAATGAATATCAAGCTAGGCCCTGCCTTGAAAATCTGTGCACGGATCAATTCACTGAAAGAATCCTAACAAGAATGTGAGGTTTTTGAGATGACATTTTTGCTTTTCTCAAATTTGTAAAGTCGTAAGCTAATTTGTAAAGTCAACAGGTTACTTTTACTGCAGTGTTGGGCAAAATACATTCAAATCTCTCATGGCATTCATACCCTCTCCTCCAGATCCAGGAACCTACCAAGGCTTCCAAGAAGCCAACATTCCTGAAAGAAATCTTATAGGTTGGTGAAGGACAGATACCCCTGAAGGCACGGTAAGCCAGAGGGTGGCCCAAGGAAAAGGAGGACGCACAGCCACTCTCAGCCGCAGGGTAGAATGTGCTGGGGAGGATGCTTGTTGCATGGGTTGATGTAAGTAGGTACTCTTCCAATTCCCCTTTGGCCAGATTGAGGTTTGCCTCCAAGGCAAGTTTCAGGTGATAGAAGAACGCGTCAGCAGAATGAGAGAAGTGTCAAAAATTTTGTCTTAGAACATTCATTCGGAGTTGTCCAGGCTTGCTGAACCCCCGGAGAGGGTTGTTGTCTTCACAGGGACTAGAAGTCACCATTGATTGACATTCTAGGTGGCTGAGAAAAAAAGTACTTTTTCCTGCTGCTTCTCTAAGCAAAATGGAGTTATAATACTTGCCCCCGACTAAGAGATGTTTTAAAAAACATAGGGAAGGTAAGCTGTCGAATGAGTTTTAAATTGTTCAGAAAATAAAGCTGCCAGCTAAGTGCAGGAGGGGAATGTTAGTTATGTAACATAAAAGCTCTATATATTATTTTTGATAATTTTATGTATAGTAGAAAATGGAAATTTCCCATTCCGTTCTTCAAAATGCAGAAGTACTGATGGGGTAATGTTAACAATAGCCAGACAGCGCTGGACCCCAAGCAGCTCTCTGGTATTCATGGGCTGGAAGGCATAACATCCTTGAGCCTTCGTGGACTGGTGCCCCAGCACTGCCAGGCAGGCAGGAAGGAGCAGCAGGGCAGGCTGCATCACTGTTTTGGGGGTATTTGTAATGGAGCAACATGTTGGTACTAGGAAGAATGGAACTTCTCCTTTTCCTTTAGTAATTGATCCAGCATTTGTCAGGTGACAACTCCTGGATGTTCCTGACTTTTAAACATCAGAGCTATGAACTGCTCTTGTGTGCCACAAGGACAAAATGTGTTTTAAAAATTCAAATATCCCAATTCAGAAAGTTAGGGTTCTGCAGTGTTACAGAAGGCAATGCAAATTCTGTTGAATAATAATGATAAATCACTAGCATATATGTAGGTAAATAAGGGATGGGGACACACACACACACACACACACGCACACACGCATCACAAAGTTTTGAAAATCAAGATTTTTTTTTTTAATTACAATCACATGATACTTGGGTCAAGGTACCATTTACTGATTTCCTCATTCTCTCTCACTGTGACGAACAGCCCCGTCCTCGTTGCCTGTGACTAATTTATATGGCTCTCTTGAGGGAGCACATGCAGGTATCTGGCATATGTTCAGTTGGGTAGTGAAAATGAATTCAAGGGTTTCAGTTGGCTCCATTGCTCTTTTCAGAAAGATTACTTTAAGCTAGTATAAGATTAAAGATATCACAGATATTTATCTTTTGGCTTTGTGTACCTTAGAGGTTATTTTTATACAAAAACACAGAGGGTAATTTTTTTAATCTTCTGGGATTCTTTTGTGTTGTAATAATGTTTAAAAAAAGTGCTTATTGATATTTATCTTTGTCTAGGAATAGCAAGGCTCATCTTCCAGGCCTACAGTAGTTTATAATAGATGAAGACTTTTTTGTCGTATCGAACCTTTCATTAGTAGGTGAAAGTTTGAAGGAGAACACCTGTGTAATCTCATTATGCTTAGTGGTAAGGGACAGCAGCCTAGAAAAGTTGTATATTTGGCCTTGAAATGCCTCTTCCCCCATTCCTTCCTCCCTTCTCCCCACTAGATTTACCTTTTTTTTTTGGGTGAGGTGATCCAGGTTAAGTGACTTGCCCAAGGTCACACAGCTAGTAAGTGTTAAGTGTCTGAGGCTGGATTTGAACTTAGGTCCTCCTGACTCCAAGGCCAGAGCTCTATTCACTGCGCCACCTAGCTGCCCTAGATTTACCTCTTAATCATTCCCGGAGTGCACAGAGCAGTGGAGAGAAGGGGAGGGGTGGGTAGAGTGTCCTGGGTGTCAGAAGTTTACCACTGTTTGGGAACCCAAACACCGACTACTTCTTACCATAGTTCATTGTCCTCTGTTCCTGCTTGAGATGATTTAGGCATCAGTTGGTTGGTCACTCACTATCAGAGATTAATTTTGTAACATTGGAAAATGCCTCTTGGGACATATTGCCAAGTAGTTAAGCTGTATAGTGTTTTTATATATATGTGTATATATATAGATATAGATATAGATATATATACATATATATGGTGGTGTTGATCATGCTGTAGTGAGGTGTTTTTCTTTAGTAACCATCAACAAGTATTACCCACTGGCCATGTTTAGCACTTTGCTCCAAATGCACCTGAGCTACTTAACTCCTCTTACAAATCTTCCCTTTTCTCACAAAACAAAACAAATAACTTCAACATAAACCACACATTTGCTTCTTTAAACAGACTTTAAGGAGAATTGGCTCATTTGCTTTCAACAAATACTGTTTCTTCCTGAATGATTTAGCTATTTTAACTTCCATAGCTTTGGATCTACATAATATATAGAAAACATAAAACAAAAGATTTTGCTTTCTTCCATGTCCTAAAATGAGCGTAGCAATCTAATTCTGAATTGGCTGTGTAGGTAAGTTAATTTTATATTACCTTAGAGTACTATTGTCTCTGGGTTTTTAATGGTGCAGGTGAGCTACTTAAAGACATATTTTTTTTAATTTGCACCCACCTCTCCCCCAAAAAATAATGTGAGCTCTTGCCTGATTTAAGCTGTGAATTGTTCTTGAGGAAGAAATGATAAACTGGGAGAGAAAATTTACATTTAAGATGTGTGTATGCCGATCTCATACAGTGCATGGTGTGTGGTACAGCACAAGGCAAAGCACCATCTTGAAATGTTTTTATGGCTGCCAGTCTGCCGTCATCAGATGGTGCTTTCAAATTGGCCTATTCCCAGTTACTCTTAGAGGGGTGGGTGATGCCAGTCAGGGGAGTTAGAGATGTGCTGGTGAAAAGAAACAGAATGAGGAGGGCAGAGAAGGGAAGCTGGGGAGTTTCAACTCCCACTGTGTTCAGCCAACATCACATGGAACACAGGTACACAGGACAAACTCCCTCACTGTAAAATTGAGTAGTCATGTGGCACCTGTTCCTTAAATGCAAAGGGTGTTTTTTCAAGCATCCCAATGTTTATTTTCAGATTCTCTTGTAGATTGAAACAGTGGAACAGATTGAAAAGTGTTGTTGCAAGTACACACTTGAACAGTTTTTTGACACATCAATTCTCTGAAGTTATTGTAAGCCTCCTATTCAAAAACATGTCTTAGGATAACATCTGACACTATGTGTTATCTCTCATTTAGTGAAATAGAGTAAAATCTTTAAGCAACATAGAGATGATTGTGGTGGAGGAACTGATAGAGATGCTTACACAGCCTCAAATCAGTTCAGGACTAAACCAGTGTAGATAGATGGCAGCATCTTCCTAGAATCATGTCCGGCTCACAAAATGACCAGATGAATGAACTTGCTGCTCTTTGCTTCTTTAAAGGGAGGTGGGGGCCGGAAACAGTGTGTTGGCACCTCAGGAGCTGTTGGTAGGCTGTCCTCACACAGGCTGTGGTGACCAACTTAGGATTGGTGAATTGTGAGAACAGATCCTACTAAAGGCCACTGTCATTGAGCTCAGAGAATGGACTGAGAGGTTCTCACTCACCTGTCACATTCTGGAAAATTCCTAGACTCCTCAGCATAAAAACCCTAAAGAGAGGATTTTGTGAAAGAAATTTCAGACTGTAAAGTGTAGACATGCCCACTTAAGCAAACTGTTTGCTCATTGTATTTCTTATGCAGTGTTTGTGTGTGTGTATGTGTGTGTGTGTGTGTGTGTGTGTGTGTGTGTTTGTTTGTGTAGTGAGGCACTGGGGAAAGTTGGCAAAAAAATCCTTGATTCAAAAACTAGAGTACAGTGCACAGGATTATAGATTAAAAATTGGAAAGGGACTCAGGGGTCACCTGGACACCCACTTCCACTCTTCAGGAATCAGCTATAATCAGCAAGGATACTTTAATTGAAGTATTTCAGGGATCTGTTTTCCTCGTGGTGGATGCTGGCTCCATTGGGCGAATCATGATGCCATGCCCTCATCACTGTTGACCATACCTCTCCAAACTTGGGCTGGCCTCTGGACACCATATATACTCACCTGTCCTTCAAGCTTTTGGACTTGGTAGGAACTGCCAAATATGGGTCCCAGTCACCTTCATGCCTCATTGAGGCTTCAGAGTAGGAAGTGAATGACAGCAAAGGAAAGATCCTTAATGTAATTTTACCAGGAGTTATTGACATGAACATTAATTGGAGAAAGATGACAGCCAGTACAGCAGAGAAGTTCTGACACTCAGAGATTAATTTTTGCAATTTTCAATGTGTCAAACTTTCAAAAATTAGTTTAAGCCATCTCATACAGCGAGATTGTTTCAAGTTCTAGAATGGCATTTTTGATGCTAAGTTGTGGCTGTATCTGTAAGGTGATGGGCTAAAAAGACCTCAGTTTTCTCTGTATTTTGCTAAATAACTCTTGATTTTTCGGAGTAAAACTTATTAAATTCAGAAGTGTATAGAAGACTTGTAGCATTCAATGATATAAGTATTTGGCAAGTATTTGCCTTTGAGTTCCTCTTCATAAATATGATTTTTAAAAATCAATAAATATACAGTATTTTAAGCCTATTAAAATTTAACCAGTCTGCTAAAAGATGCCCAATTTGTAAGAAACGTTGTGAGTTCCATGTGAGCCTCCCTTCTCCCTCAGTGAGTTTGACTATGTTGATAAAATTAGCTCCCCAGTTTCTTCCCAGGTGGCAGCCTGTCTAATTTGCTGCTTTGAGGCACTTTGGCAGTAAAATTGGTCTTAGTTGCACTATCTTGTGTTACAAAGTTTTTCATTATGGTTTTTGTGTGACTTTTAAAAAGTATCATCCCACCCTAGAGAAAATAGGTTTGTGAATTCCTGTGTGATCCCTCCTAGGCTTTGAGAGCTGCAAATCCTCCCCTCCTCCTTAATGCACAACGTTCCTTCTTAGCGTTGGAAGTACGGTTTCCTTTCCAAAAATGCCCTTCTTTGAATACTGAGCAAAGTCTACTTTCACACAAAGGTAGAGATTTGTGGGATCATTTTGCCTGTTGTATTTAACTTCTTCCTCTTTATTGTCTCCTAAAATTTTTCTAGAAGATAATGATGATGTGATGGTGGCCCACTATGGGGTACAGAGAGTAGTGTAGGATAAAAGGCATAAAATGGGATTCTGCCTAGGGGCTTTTACTTCAGAATAATACTTTCATCACTATCATTCTGTTCTTTTGGAATACCTTTTAAAAGTATAGTTTTTATTTTTCCAGGGAATGGTACACTGTTTCTATAAACAGAGCCATAAGTGTCTGTGCAGGGGAATTTAAAATGTTAAAAAGTAGCCAACTAGAAACAAAATTTTTTTAATAGATTAAAGGTAAAATGGGTTTAAATGTATAGCATTATATATGGGTACCATATAGTTTTAAACTATGATGTTTCTAAATATATATGTGTGTGTATGTATATGTATGTATGTATGTACACACACACAGTGTGTTAAGATTCATAGCAGCCTCATTGATGATGGTTTAAGTAATCATCATAGAGGTTAATGTGTATGATGTGTAGTTAAAATAGTTTATTGGCTTAAAAACTACTTTATAATCATTATTGAATCAATAGGCTTTTATCATAGATTTTTAAATTAAATGAAGTAAGAACATCAAGGCTTTTACTAAAGATATGTGGAAGTAATTAACTCCCATTTTTCATGTTTACATCAGGAGGGAGAATGTTTCAGCTTAAGTCTTGTGGTTAAGGAAACTAGTGTCCACTTTTTAAACTTTTTAAAAAATTAACTTTTCCTTTTTCTTTTTTATTAATATTTTTAGCCATTCTAAATTGTAGCCAGGTAATTTCTTTAACTATTCATGCTGGTAATAGTGATGAATGGAAACAGTCTTAGACTGGTTATAGGTCATAAAATGGCATATTTTGTAAATTTATTGACTTTTTTAAATGGTTCTTTTTGTGGGTTAGGAGAGTTTATTCAGTGTCCATGTTTTGTATTAGACATGACCTACACTCTACAGGTTGGCATTCTCAGTGCCCAAACATTTACAAACAAGTTCATGAGGTCATTTTTCCAAACACCATTGGTATTTTGAGCTGTATAATTCATTTACCTTGCCATGAATACATTGTTTATCATGGATGAAAATTTATGTGCATTTGCTCTACAGGGAGAGAAGAGAGTTCAAAAAGTATAAGAAATCTCTGGTTTCCTCAAGGTGAGATAGGTTTGAGAGCTATGTGGAGATAAATGGAAGGACATGGCTGTGTTCTCAGTTGGGCAGCAACTTAGGTCATTGGGTCATTAGGTCACCTGCCAGATGAACTTTGTGAGTCAAGAAGAAAAAGTCAAAATTTAGGTAAATGGTTTTTATCATGGACTGATCTTGTTCTTGTGAGAGTTATTTTTTTTTGTATTTGTTTTCTGTGCTTGTTTTTTCCTGCGTCCACTCCATTATTGTTGTTTCTATATCACCCCATCTTTTTATTCTGTCAGTGGGTATTTTCAGGCTTTAATTAGTCTCGATTTTGGTGAGTCTTTCCATTATCTCTACCTGAGGTGGTTTCTTTGGGGCATCCTGCAGTTCTCCCACAGAGAGAATTTTTAGCATTGTAATTTTCTAATTCTGATTTTTCTAATTTTCTTGCCAGTTTTAACTCCTCCATTAATTATTTGAGTGAATATGGAGTGATTCATTTGAACATCTATGAATATTTTTTTAGGTTGTTGCTTCTATATGTATTTCTTCTTTTTCTTCCATTTCATCATTATCTTTTTGGTGAGCTTTAATTTTATCTTGAGATTCTCTAAAGGTTTTATTCTTTTTTCAATTTATATTAATTTTGAGGGGTGTTGTGAGGCTTTGCTCCCTCCCTGCAACATATTATGCTCTGCCATCTTCTAACAATCTGTCTTAAAAAAGCATTGGGCAGCAATGCAAACGTGTCCTTTGGTTGGTATCTCTTAGTTGCATTTTCCCTTGATGTACTTTCCTGCTGCTTTACTGATGTAGGGGGGGATCCTTGCCAAGTGTCCAGCAGGGTGACGGGGTCTGCTGCTGGATATGGAACAGATGACAAGAGATGGTGACAGAGGTGGAATGCAGGGCATTCTTCAGAGGTGGAGGTGGCAGAAACCACTGAGCTGGTCACCGGTTGAGTCATGTGTGTCTAAAGGCTTGCATGAGATGACAAAACCAAGTTACAAAAGCTAGGGCCTTGAATTTGTGAAACAAAATTGAATGAAAAGTATTCATTCCTTAGGCAGTATTATTTTTAGCACTTAACCCTGGGCTACGTCCACACTGCCATTCTGACATAAAAGCATCAGCCTGGCCGATTGTACTTTTAAAAGTAATTCATTGCATTTCATTCCTGTCTGGCAACTTTTACAAACCTCAAGAATAAAGTCTGGATGTATAATTGAAAGTTATTTTAAAGCACCCCAGGTATTTTTCTTATTATCCCATGGAAGGTCCTGTCAGGGAACCAGGAAGCACAGTATTTCCTACCGAGATCAGCCAAAGTCCGAGGCTTCAGAGTCTCAGCTTCTCATTCTCTTCCCTTCCCTTCTCGCTCTCTGGAGGGGGCCGAGTCTATCAGAATGTGCATTTGAGGCATAAGATACAAACCCAAGTTTTATGGGATAACCTTTTGCTTTTTTACCCTTACTTGATGCGAATGTGAAATTATCTTTAAAAGCTTCAATTTATACATTTATGGATCTTCATCTGTAATCTAATCTTTTATACTGTCTGGTGCATCCGAATGAACTGGGCAAGATGATTTTGAGCTTTTCAAAAGTCTGCTAAATTGCATAGATCCAACATAGTATTTAAAATGTCTAATTTTCAGCATATATGAATTAGGGTTAGACTAGATTTTCAAACTCCTTGTACAAATATTTGATCCATTTTCTCACAAGCAAAAAAAAAAAAATCCTTCTCTGTAAAGTGAGGTTCATTATTATGGTAGTCAGTGTGAAGGGATGGACACAGAGAGTGGTGCCAAACATTTCAAGCTTCAAACAGTGTATTGCCTCCTTCTGTTGAATCCACACATTTTACAACTCCATTTAAAGCTGTTTGCAAGGAAGCTTCCAGCACATTCTGAGCTCATTCCTCCCCTTGTTCTCAAACAGGATACTTATATTATAAAAGCCTCATAGTGGGATGTGTGATCCAGCAAGGGTGGAAAGCATCATGAGATGTAAAATTATCTATAAAAACAAGACATTTTAATGTATTTGCAAAAAGCAAATGTTAAAATTATATATAGGTGTATTCTTTACCATATATTGTATTGGAATATTCTTTACCAGAAAATGAAACAATAGTTTTAGCATTGAATAGGATAATTAGATTAGTGTCCATAGCTCAACTTTTAAAATGTATAGCCTGAAAATGAAGTTAAAATAATTTTACAGTATAAGAGCACACCATGATCTATGTAAAACAGATTATGTCCATTTGATGTATTTTTTTAAAGAAAAGGAAAAAAAGCACTTTCATATTAACAAGTAGCATGTGAATGAACTTTAGAGTTTCATATTTGTTGTGGATTGTAGCAAAAGTGAAGTAAAAATTTAGCATTCATATGTCTTTGGTGGCAACACAACTATTGAATTGAAGCACCTTATACTCTGCTGCTTAAACTTGCTTGTAATTGCACCTTTTGGGACCTGCACATTTTCATATAAAACATTATTGTAACATTTCCTCACAAGGGTTTGGGTAGAGATTTAGTGGGCCTACAAAATCACTTATTTATATTGTTTATATTGCAATAATATATTGTAGACCAGTTGTAAGTTCATTGCTTCATAAATAAACGCTTCTTTCCATTTGGCTGGTGTGCTGAATTTCATCCTTATATCTAGCCATCATGTTCAGTTATTTTTTCAGTCGTGTCCGACTCATCGTGATCCCGTTGGGGTTTTCTTGGCAAAGAAACAGGATGAAGTGACTCGCCCAGGGCCACACAGCTGGTAAATGTCTGAGGCCAGATTTGAACTCGGGGAGGTGAGTCTTCCTGCCTTCAGGCCGGCACCTAGCCTGCCACCCGGCTGTCCATCACTCTTTAAAGGGCCACACAGAAGTAAAAAGCAGCTTTTTTAAGCGACAGGTATAATAAGGTTAACCTCGTCTGTTTTAAACTGGGGGGTGGGGGAGCGTATGGGGATATTACAGATATTCCAGATCGTGACTGGTCAAGCTTCAGGAAGAAAAGAGGCACAGAGGCCCACAGAAAAGCGGAGGGCTGGGAAGGAAAGTGGGTGAGATCCCACTCTCACCTGGTCTGGGGCTTCATTACTTCCTGTTGCTCTCTGAAACACAGTTAGCCTGTCCACCCTTTGTTCATAGTCCCTCCAAAAACGGTTGTCTTTCAGACGCTATTGGTGCCTGGCTCAACGCTGCAGCCCACGGCCCAGGAACGTCTCTGTTGAGCGTTGGCAGCGGGGCTGGAATCCTCTGATGTGGGCTTACGCTCCCTCACGTGAACGGACCCCAGGGCAGGCTACTAGAGTCTCCAAATACTATGTCTAAATGCTAAGATTCACGGGCTTACAGAGGAAACATTATGTCTAAAGAGGCAGCAGGACCTGAGAACCTCTGGTCCAGATCTAGTTGGTGTAAATGGAGTTGGAGTGGCCTTTTGATGTAGGGATGAGGGTCAGGAAGATCTGGGTTCGAATCCTTTCTCAGACACCAAGTCACTGTGAGACTGGGGACCAGTCCTATAACCTCTCTGGGCTTCAGTTCCCTCATCTGTAAATAAGAGGGTTCTGAACCCGATGGCCTCTGCACCTCCTTGTGACTTTGCGATGATGCTGCTAATGTGGTTCTCTTCCTGGACCCTGGGGGACATCCTCTCTAGATATAACATAATGCAGCATGACCCTCCTACCTGATGGGCACTCGGCCTTCATACCTGCTACATTCAACGATCAAACACAAACACTGGTTAGTAAGTCCTCGATCGTTTTAGGACATGCGATCAAAGGGTCACTGCAGTTTTTAATATCTGAAACGGGTTCTTGGGTAGATTACAGGCGCTCTGTGAACCTGGGGCTGCTCTCAAGCATGGGTCCAGTCTGCATCCAGTCTCTCATCCTGTCCCTCTCACAGCTTTCGGCCATTTTGGACTTTGCTCTCCCAGCCCCTTCTGACAGCCCCCTGGCCACTCGACCCCCATCCCAGGTGGGCATGCTCTCCCTCTTCCCCCTTCCCTCCCAGCACTTGGCCCATCTCCCCTGGGCGCTGCATACTTCCCCATGTAGCAGAATTGATTGTCGCTTCCCCCTTAGATTAGATCACGGACCCCGAGAGCCGGGGCTGGACGCTGCGTCCAGCCTTTCTGTGTTCCTGGAGCTTGGCCCGGGACCTCTGATGAGTGGAAGTGAAGGTCACCTGGGAGAGCATCGGCAGGCCACAAGGGAAGTTCTGCTTTCATTGTTGAGGAGAGGTGAGACCTCGGCTTTTTCTCTAATTGCTCCAGTTTGTTTCGAGAGGAGTCGATAGGATCAGCTTCTATGGAAAGCTGGACCCCAGGAATGATTGCGTCCCGTCCCTCCCTGCCACCCCTATCCCCAGGTGGTTGAGGAGCCAAGTCAATGGGTGTGGCAGACAGAGAAGGGGCCTACGGTTGCCCTCACAGAACAATCCTCAGCTCAGGTGGTTTCAGTATTTTTATCTGGAATGTCATTACTTTATTTTCATTTTTTTCAAGGGGTCTTTATTATTTTATCACAACCTAAAAATTTTCATACACAGATATAACTATGCGAAATGTAAGGAAATGAGAAAATAGATTAGCCATGATAAAATTCACTCTGAGGACATTTCCTATCTCAAGGAATTCCTCTATAATCTAGTGAGAGACACCTTTTTAAAACAATCATTGCATGAATAACTTGGAGACTTTTTCTTAAATGTTAAGATTATTAAACCAGTTCAAATATATTTTTAAAAATATAAAATATAGCTGTGTGCATTCAGATCTGCAACATAATTGGCATTAAAAAATACAAGAAAGGAAATCTCTCTACCACTATAGGTGGACAACTGTCCTGCAATTTATAGTCTTAGTTTCCTGGGAACACAGACGGGTGAAGTGAACTAGACAGTCAAACAGCTAGTAGGTGTCAGAGGAAGGCCGAGAATCCAGGTGCTCTTGACTTGGAGGTTGGCTGTGCTACCTCTCAAAATACAGCTTGTGTGTTTTTATCATAATACTGAAAATAACCCTTGCATCCTCTCCACCTCCCCCCGAACCCAACCAAATAAGAGGACGTGATTTTTAAAAATCTTTTTAAAAATGTTTAATGAAGACCTGCGAAGTTGTCAATAAGTCTGTGATTTATACAAGGATTTGGTTCCTGGATAATACAGACATTAATACAGTCAGTCAAACTCTCCAATCAAATTACCTCTATTTTTGAGCTCTGAAACAGATTTCCATCTGAAGTACAAAACTTCCCGGAATAAAACCAAGGTAGTGGTGAACTTTTAAAGAAATGTGTAAAGAATATTTCTTGTTTAGCAAATTCTAAAAAGGTTACTGACTTAACTAGAATTGTGGGGGACTGAAATCTCTTTACATTTTCAGGATCCAAATCCTATCCATGCATTTCAGCTCGTGGCCAGTCCTTGGATGGCCACCCTCACATTTCCTCGTCTGCTCCATTTACAAAGATGATCACACAATGAAATGAGCTCTGGGCTTTCATTACCCAACACAGCAACAAATTAACAGACTATTACTGCTGCAGCTTTTTCCGTTTGCTCCGTATGATGAATTGTAAATGGAATAAAGCAGAATTTCCAGCTGACAAATGGGTCCACGTGTAAAATAGTTTCTGTTACCTTAAGCTCATGACTCCTAAACCAGTAAACCGCGGCAATGAGAAAACTGTTAACAAAATACAACCAGGGGACGTTCATCTCCACATAGGCCGGAATTCGTATGTCCAGAAACAGAATGATTATCTGAAGGAAAACAAATGGGAACCACGTTCCAAGAAAACAGATCAGAAGCTTGGTCAAGAGCTGCTTTTTACAGATGACCGTGTGATCCCAGTCTGGTGCAAGGGGAAAGTACAGGGCAGTCTCATTCATATAGGAGGTGATGTGAAGGGTCTGAATCAGCATCAGGACTTCAGACCAACAAGTCCCAAAAACCACCAGGAGGACCCCCACCATGAAAACCGACAGCCAGTAGCTCTGAATGCTAACGTAGAACGGGCACTGGTAGGAAGAGAGACTGTGTTTGCTCAAGCTTACGTAGACGACAGCGTCTCCCAAAACATACACAAGGGCTGCGATCCAAATGAAAATGATGGAAAAGAAATAAAAGACGTTTTGACAGAAGCGTGAGACCTTGGACGTCTGAGAGATGTTCAGGTAGTGATCCAGACCGGCTAGAAGAAAAACTGGGCAGTGCAGGAAGCCATAGGCAAAGGACATAATTTGAGGTAACAGACAGATGTGGTATTTTGTAAACCTGATGCCCCAAAGGGCAAAGTCCTGGAAATAGGCTATGAAAGAGAGGCCCACCAGAAGAAAGAAGTCAATGAGCGCTACTGACATGCAAAAATATTCCAGAAAACTTTGGTGGGTGTCCTTTCTTCCAATGGCTATCATCAGGATGTTGAGGAATGTTTTCACAAGTATAACTAAGAGTACCATGCAGCTGGGATCTAGAGATGGGTGCTCAGGATATGACTGGAGCTGAAAGGTGTGATTATCCAGAGAAACAAACATTTTTTTTTTCTTCAGTCAAGTTTCAGAAGGTCTGGTGGAACATGTAACACATGGAAAAAAGGGTGCTTGTTTTCTATACCTAGAGGGAAAATGATTTCAGGCTTTAAAATTATTTTCTAGGTATATAAAAAAAATTTAGTTTTCTAAATTTGTATTTTACAAAGAAAATCTCACTACCGGTATAACCTAATTTAATCCATTAACATAACCAACTCAGTTTTGGAAATAAGAATCTAATGGCACTCTTTTGATTCATTAAGCACCTTCTATGTGCCAGGCACAATACTAAGTGCTGGGATACAAAGACAAAAAAAAAAGTTACCGCCCTTTAGGGACTTACATATTCGTGGGGGGAAACAAAACATACACGCAGATTGGTCTCTATACACTAAATACAATGTAATTTCATCTGGGAGCATTAACAGCTGAAAGAATGAGGGAAAAAAAGCCAGTTGATGGAGGTGTGACAGTTGAGCTAAGCCTTTAAGGGAGCTATATACTCATAATACTTGTATGGTGGCCTTAGGAAATGATACAAGTCAAAAGACAAGTTTTTGTTTTGTTTTAAGGCAGCAAAGTATGGTGGGAATCCCTGAACAAATAGAGTGTTGGACAGAGGTGCTTAGGATCTTCTGATTGTGACTTTGGGTAAGGCACTTACGTTCTGTTGGCCTCAGTTTCCTCATTATAAAATGAGGGTATGAGTCTGGCTGATGTAAAATTTAAGGTCTTTTCCAGCTCTAAAATTCCATGTCAGAAGTGGAAATGCAGTTACCCACATCTAAGATGGCCTAGAGCATGGTTGGTTTTGACCCAGCTTTCTCTCTAAAATAGATTTTTCACTTCATCTTTCTTTGTTCCCTCACTGTCTAAACAACCTTGTATTTATTCTGGAGTAGAATTAAAGCTCCTTAAGGGCAGGAACAACTTCATTTTTGAATTTGTGCACATCACACAGTAGGCACTTAATACTTGTTCAATGGATTGATTGGCATTTTTACAGCACTTTAAAGTTTGCAACATCCTTTACAACTATCTCATTTCAGCTTCATGACAACCCTGTAAGATAGGCACCATATGTGTTGTTATTCCTGTTTAATAGATATGGAAACAGAGATTAAGTGACTTAGTCCAAGATCCCAAAGTTAGTGACAGGTGGAATCTGAACCCAGAACATCTTTCAACTCCAGTTCTCAATCTACTGTGCCATGACATCTTTCCAAAAGGACAAGCCGTCACATATAACTTAGGAAAATCACAAGATTACAACTATAGAAATCTGAGGACATGTCTGAATAAGCCCTTTTGGGGGACTTCTGACCAAAATAAAATGGCTACCTGAATGGACACAGGCCCATCAGCTCCCCACATCTAATACAGCAAAAACCTAGAAATTGCAGCAGGCCAAATAATGATCAAAATATACGAGAAACTACACTAAATGACTTCTTCCATCCCAGAAGTAGACAAAAAACCACTTGGAAGCCAATGGGTGCCAGGCGATATGAAGCCACTGGAGTCGGCTGATTAAAGGAGTCACATGGTCAGATCTACGATAAAGGAAATTTCATCATTGTGTAGGTTGGACTTGAGCAGTGAGAAGCTTGGGGCAAGAAACTGCCATAAGGATACTCTAGAGGTGCCAGGTGAACCAGGCTAGCAGCTGTTTGAATGGAGAGGAGAGGTCAGATCCAAGGGGTGTTGTAAAAGTAGAAATAACAAGATTTGACAAGTTGGGTCCATGAGGTGAGGGAGAGTAAAGAGTAGAAGGTAATACCAAGACCATGAACTGGAGGAATGGGGATGACTTTGATAGAACAAGAGAAGTTTAGAGGACGAAGTTTAGGGGGAAAGATGAGTTCAATATAATAACAATTTTATTAAAGAGAATAACAACAATGAGACAACATACCAAAACCTATGAGATACGGCAAAAGCAGTAATCGGAGGAAAACTGATATCTCTACATGCTTATACCAATAAAATTGAGAGAAAGAGCAGACCAATAAATTGGGTATGCAATTAAAAAAAAAACCAAACCAAGAAAAAGAACTGATTTAAAATCCCCAATTAAACACCAAATTGGAAATCCTAAAAATTAAAAGTAAGAAATAAAATTGAATATAAGAAAACCATTGAATCAATAAAACTAGGAGTTGGTTTTATGAAAAAAAAAATAACAAAAAAACAAAAAACAAACCAGTAAAATAAACCATTGGTTAATGTGATTTAAAAAAAGAAAACCAGGGGCAGGTAGGTGGCACAATGAATAGAGCACTGGCCCTGGAGTCAGGAGGACCTGAGTTCAAATCTAGCCTTGACACTTACTTGCTGTGTGACCCCGGGCAAGTCACTTAACCCCATTGCCTAGCAAAAAAGAAAAAAAAAATCATTAGTACCAAAATGAAAATATCACTAATGAAGTGAAATCAAAGCAATTATTAGGAGTTATTTTGCCCAATTATTTGCCAGTTTAACAATTTAAGTGAAATGGAAGAATACTTACAAAAATATAAACGGTCTAGATTAATAGAAGAGGAAATAGAATAGCTAAATAAACCTATTTTAGAAAAAGAAATTGAACAAGTCCTAAATGAGCTTTCTAAGAAAAAAACATCAGGGCCAGATGGATTTATAAGTGAATTCTACCAAACATTTAAAGATCAACTAATTGCTATATTAAATAAATTATTTGGAACAATGGGCAAAGGACTCCTGCCAAACCCCTTTTATAAAACAAATATGGTACTGATACCTAAACCAGGAAGAACAAAAAACAGAAAAAGAATTACAGAACAATTTCGTTAATGAATGTGGATGCAAAAATCCGAAGTAAAATACTAGCCAGGAGACTACAACAATATATCACAAAGATTATGCATGGTTATCAAATGAGATATATACCAGGAATGCAGGGATGGTTTAACATAAGGAAAATTAGTAACATATTTGATGATGTCAGTAACAAAAGTAACAAAATCATATAATTATATCAAAAGATGTAGAAAGACTTTTGACAAAATACAACACTCATTCCTAATTTTAAAAAAAAAACACTTGAAAGCATAAGTATAAATGGATTTTTCCTTAAAATGATAAGTATCTACCTAAAACCATCAGCAAGCATCGTTTGTAATGGGGTTAAGCTAACAGCCTTCTCAATAAGATCAGGAGTGAAACAAGGATGCCCATTATCACCAATATTATTGAATGTTGTATTAGAAATGCTAACAATTTGCAATAAAAGAGAAATTGAAGGAATCAGAATGGACACTGAGGTAACAAAATTCTCTTTGCACTTGAAATGAAATGATATATTTGGAAAATCCTAAAGATTCACCTAAAAAGTTAGATGAAACAATGAATAATTTTAGCAAAGTAGCAGGATATAAAAATAAACCCATATAAATCATCAGCATTTCTACATATCATCATAAATAAAACCCTGCAAGAAGAGATAATAAGACCCCATTTAAAATAATTATAGGCAACATAAAATACCTGGGAGTATACCTACCAAGACAAAATCAGGAACAACATGAAGATAATTATAAAACTCTTTTTCTACAAATAAAGTCATTTGAATAATTAAAGAAATATTAATTCTTCATGAGCCAATATAATAAAAATTACAATTCTACCTAAACTCATCTACTTATTCAATGCTATCCCAATTAAATTACCAAAAATGTATTTTATTAAGCTAGAAAAAATAATAACAAAATTCATTTGGAAGAACAAAAGGTCAAGAATGTCAAAGGAATTAATGAAAAAAAAAATGTAAAGGAAGGAGGGGTTTAGCAGTACCAGTAATTATAGTAACCTTGTGTTTGACAAATGTAAAGATTTAAGCTTTTGAGGTAAGAATTCACTATTTGGTAAAATAATAGTAAGTTGGGAAAAACTGGAAAGCAGTCTGGCAGAAACTGGGTATAGTCTAGTATCTTATACCATTTACCAAAATAAGGTCAAAATGGATACATGACCTAGATATAAAAGGAGATTATCATAAGAAAATTAGAAGAACTTAAAACATGTTACTGATTAGACTTACGGACTGGAGAAGAATTTATGAATAAATAAGAGAGAACATTGTCAGATGTAAAATGAATAATTCTGATTACATTAAATTAAAAAGATTTTATATAAATAGAACCAATGTAGCCAAGATTAGAAGGAAAGCAGAAAACGGGGGGGGGGGAATCTTTTATAGACAGTTTTTCAGATAAAGGTCTCATATCAAATATATAGGGGACTTTATTAATTAAATGCGAATTAAAGCAACTTTGCAATATCTCACACCTATCAGACTGAATAAAATGATAGAAGAGGAAAATGACAAGTTTTAGAGGGTATATGGAAAAATTGGGACACTGATATATTGTTGGTGGAATTGTGAACTGATCCAACTGTTTTGGAGAACAATCTGAAATTATGCCCAACTGTGTGAAACCCTTTGACCCAGGAATAGCACTAGTAGGCCTTTTCTAAAATACTTATAGCAGCTCTCTTTGTGGTGGCAAAGAACTGGAAATTGAGGGGATGCTCATCAGTTGGGGAATGGCTAAACAAATTGTGGTTGTGATATGATTGTGGTGAAATACTACTGTGCTGTAAGAAATGATGAGCTGCTTGATATTAGAAAAACATGGAAAGACTTGCATGAAATAATGAAAGAATGAAATGAGAACCAGGAGAATGTTGTATACAGTAACAGCAATACTGTTCAAAGAACAACTGTGAATGACTAGAGTAGTATAAATACTCAAATCAGCTACAAAGGACCTATGAGGGAAGATTCTATCCACATCCAGAGAAAGAACTGCTAAATAGAAGTATGCATTGTATGGTTGTGTGTGTGTGTGTGTGTGTGTGTGTGTGGACATTGGTGGCCTTCTGTAGCGTGGGGAGGGGAGGGAGGGAAGGAAACAATTTGAAACTTAAAATGTAACAGAAATAAAATAAATTAAAAAAATAGGAGAACTTTATGAGCTGTCTTGTTGAGATGGAATTTTTTTTTTAGCCACTTAATCAATGAAAGTGAATAGCTAGTTACAATATAAAAATTTACTTTTCTTCTGGCTAATGACAGGCAGTGACTATTAAATAATAAATGTACTTTAAAAAAAAAGAAATGAATTGAGGGCAGCTAGGTGGCGCTGTGGATAGAGCATTGGCCCTGCAGTCGGGAGGACTTGAGTTCAAATGTGGCCTCAAACACATGATATTCACTAAATGTGTGACCCTGGGCAATTCACTTAACCCTGATTGCTTCTCAAAGAAAAAAGAAAAAGAAAGAAATGAGGAAACTGAGGCCCCTAGAGGGAAGCAGTTGTCTCAAGGTCACAGAGTCAGTGTGTGCTACAGCTGGGATCTAAACTAAACTCCTTAGGCCGCCATTTTAAGCCCTTTACATATCACTCTGGTCTGGCTTTTCCCTTTTAGGAACTGTATGTTACAATTAAAGTGACCAACGTTCTGGTCCCTAAATTTAGTACACCAGTACGCCATCACCCTGCCTGGTTCTGCACAAACCAGGAGTGCCTTCTCTTTGCCATAGGTGGGTGTGGGAAGGAATGATGGGGAAAGGGAGAGAGAAGGAGAAGAGAAAGAGAAAAAGGAAGGAGGGAGAAGAAGGGAGGGAGGGAGAGAGGAGAGGGAGAAAAAGGAGGAAGAAAGATAGGCTGGAAGAAGGAAGGAAGGAGGGAAAAGATAGGAATGGAGAAGGAAAGGGGGAGGGAGAGAGGAGGGAAGGGGGAGACAGTTGGGGGCAGGGTAGAACAGAGGGGAGAGATCAGCCAGCTACAACCAGCTATAATCTAGGAAGAAAACCAGGATTATCTAGTACAGGGCAAGTTGAAGAAAGAAAGAATTTATCAGGGAAGTGCTACTCATAGCAAAGAGACTTAGAAAAAGAAGTGACAAGAAGACGAAGAGTGTGGGTCCCTTGCAGGCAGTTTCCCGGGGCAGTGGGAGTGGGCCAGATTGTAGGCAGCTGGTAAGAGGCCAGAGAAGGCTCCAGGTGGGCTCTGAGCTCATTCCCCAGGCCACCAAGTACGCCTAGATACCCTCCTCCTAAACCAGCATGTGCCCATAAAATGGCAGCATCCGATTCTCAGGACTGTGCTTTTCCATGACCAAGGGGAAGGAAGAACCAGTTCAACAAGTCTAGAGGGTGATTTGCTCTACCTCGGCTAGGGAGGCGGGTGGGGCACAAACGCCCATGGGACAAATGTCAAGTAATAACCACCCAGACAATGCACAGCACAACACCACACACACACACACACACACACACACACACACACACACACACAC